GGTCACTTTGAAATAAAAAAAGTCTTTGAAAGTTTAAATTCTTGTGTGTTTATCTCTAGTGCAAGTTAAGTCGCTGGAGGCAAATCTTATCTCTGGCCAACCGGAAATTATAATCGGAAGATTTTCGGTATCACTACCCTCTGAAATTAAAAGGACTTGCCATAAATAGTTTAAGAATCGATCTGCGATAAAAATGTTTATCTAACTTAATATTGAAACCCATTGCTTAGTTTGCAATCAGAAATTAAGCTTTTAAGGAACTGGATTTCCTATTGAGTTTCTTTATTTGAAAATTAAAGCGCATTATCATCTTAATAAATGTGATAAAATGCCAGTCTAACAAATTGTTTAGCAAGTTGTGAAAATAACACGTATTTTTGCATGCAAAACTACAGATATTTTCTGGAATTTCTGGAATAACCACGCGGCCCCTTCGGCACTTCTGACAATATTTACAGGCGATCAATTATCCTGTTGCTTCGGCTTGTTTTCTGGGCGTGTTCCGCTATTTTCTAAAGGTGAGGAGGGCGCAGTTCGGTCCAATCTCATGCAATTACACGAAAACGTTGTTGACACGGCATACCAAAACCCAAACCAAAAACCAACCCCGAAGCCCGATTGTGTTTGCCCATCAAAATGAGCGATTATGTAATAATAGCATGATAACCCAGCTAACTACATCGAGCAACAGTAGCAATAATGGAGCACACTCGAACGTTTCGCTTTTGTTCACCAACTTTGCTCAGAGAAATGTGCGTGCTTTGATTTTTTGCTCAATAAACGTATGATCTTGAACGACAAGCTGCTAAGGTCAGAGTCGCCTTTCTATGTAGGTCGTACATTGATTTTTCCGCAAATAAAAATGGAGGATGGAAAGGATATCATTATACTTTCACTATTCCGACTTTGGAGGAAGATTCGGTTTATAAGGTTAGAATGTAGTTTCTTTGTCCAACCAGATCAAAGTATTTAAATTCGCCCAAATTTGTAAAGGAATAAGCTTCTGCGACTTTGTTCCACTCGTTTGTATAAATATGCTCAACAATTCTCATCTTCAAAAATATTCCCCTTTAAAGGGAACTACACATTCTCACATTTGTTCGAAAACTTTTCAATTCACTTGAGCACCCCGTCTAGACTCTAGACCTTATCGCGCCAAATGAATAGCTGATAGAGGAGCTTTGACATTGACTAGTCCGGGTCCAGCTCCTCACATATTTTACGGCCTGACGTGCCGGGCAAATCAAATCAAACGCGATCGAACAAATTAAACTGTCCCATAAACTGGTTAAATTTCGGTGCCCCCGATCCCCTCACAGATCACACTTTAATTACCTCGCACTGCCAATGCGGGCCAATATCTGAATTATGCGCATACGTATAGATTACGGATCTGTGTTTGGCGTATGTGCGACAAACACGTTTCCCCCGATGGCGAAACCATAAGAAGGTCATAAATATTGGGCAGAAAAAGTAGGATGAGTCCGAAAATAAAACAGCCACATTCCCTCTCTGGGATGGTGCGTTCTGCATGGGTATGGGTGTGTGTCGGAAGTATGGGCATGGGCCATGGAATAGAATAAAATGTAATTAACACATGTCTGCCAGAGAGTGACGAAGGCGAATTACGATGGTTGGATAAGCGGGAGGCGGGGGACGGGGGAGAAGGTCCCATCGCCGCACCGAGTGGAAAAGAAATTGAGCGAACTTATGCAATTAATTTGCCATGCAGCTGATCGATACGCGAAATCAAATTGGCTGGGTCCACTGACCCCGACTCACTTTAGTGGCAAAAGGTCCGAAAGGGGCGTCCTGCGCCTATCCGCGTGGTCCTGGCGGCTCCAAGTGGTGGGTAATCGCTCGCTCCAGCACTACAAAACAATTTAAACGAGTCGTGAGTCAACGTGGGTTCCTTGGCTTGCACACAAGGCTCGGCACATACAAATTCACGGCTCCCAGATGTGGCGTTTGTCAACTAGTCGGCCTCTTTTCGGTTTTTTTTTTTTGTTTTTTGGTTTGCCTGTGGGCTCGCTTTGGGTTCGGGTCTGGGTTTGGTAGGTAGAACAGCGCGGATTCGCAAACGGTGGCTGCACTCTGCTTCTCGGTCTCGTGCCCAGAAATCGCGAACCGTTCACTTCGAAGCTGTCCGTCGGACTGGCCGGGCTGAAAAACTCGAAAGTTTCGACAAGTTCCGTGGAGGCCTCTCGCCGGCTCTCTCCCCCAATCTCCGCGGCTTCTCTCGCACTTTCGAGGCCTGCGCGTTCTCATGCTCCCCGCCGGCAATGATTTGTTCTCGGGCAAAACGCGTGGACTTTCAGTTGCCCCTTACTCATTCAGTTGGGGTTGACTCACTAAATGGATGGATTGGTAGCGCGCTAAGAAGTATAAGAAATCACAAGAGCCTACTTCCCAGCTGTTAAGATTAAGAATTCCCACCTGGGTAAACTTTCCGAACTGAAATATCCACAATTAAAAGATTGAAAACGGTTTTCAAATGTCATTGTTTGCTCTTCTCTAATTAATGTTTAACCGCAATTATTTTTACTTTTAGTAAGGTGCATCTCAAAAATTTCAAACCTAAATTAAATCAAAACCTTTGTAATTGAGGTGGCTTTGTTTTGGCTTTCTAGTCTAATATACTCGAGAAGTACCTGGACAAGAGACTGAGACAACATCGAACTTTGTCCTAGTGGAAAAGCTGTTTTTGTCGCCGTATGCCGGTCGCAAGAGAACTTTCTATTGACACGGGTCGTCAATCGGGAGACAGGGAGAGGGAGAGCGTCGACTCGAGAGAGAGCGCCAGCTGGTTACCGGCCCCCAAATCGGAGAGCTCCCTTTAAGCCCGACCTTACCACTTAACTTTAACTCCTTCCAAATTTTGACATACAAACGTGTTTTAATGCGACAAGGGAAAAAAAAACGGCAATTACATTAATCTAAGCACTTGGAATTTTTAAAACTGACTGATCGGCAAATCAAAAAAGACTACTTAGCCTATAATAAAATGAATATCCAAAAAATTAAAGTTTTTTTTATTGTTGGTTCACCTTATCACCAGAATATATAAATTAAATACAACAACAATAAAAAAAAAAAAACATTCTCAATATTCAATTATATGATTCTCTATCCTATAGTTATAAAATCGACTATAAAATCCGATTTTTATTTCAAGTTTTCATAACAAATGTTTTTAGCATACCCTTGGTTGCCACGATTGCCTGGTTAAAAGTAGTGGAATCGCATCACAACCCCTGAAATCTATTATGCTCGTGGAAACTTTTAGCTCTGTGTTGTTCTGTTGGTTTTGTTGTTGTAAAGGGAATCTAGTGCTATGGCCATTGGGATCGAATGCGTGAAACTTATTATATGAACAGCCGGTGTGTCTATATATTTCTGGACTTGTTGGCAGAGTCGGGAGAATCGTACGACACAAAGATTTGGCGCTGATTTGGCCGAAAGAGAAGAGAGAGGACTGCTCGCCTACGCTCTCAGTTTCTGTTATCGCCGGTATCAGCTGGATTTATTGGGAGCTCTCTCTCAAAATACATCTTGGAGCTTATGTATGCATGCACGTTGATATCGGAAGTTTTGAGATTTTTATTTATATATTGCGGCACGCGCGGTTGGGGAATAATAAAACTTTGAATCTTATCGCCAGACCGACAGAGGGCCCGACAAAAATGATGTTGTGTACCCGCGTCGGGAGATATAGGAGCCAGATAATGACCTCACCCCAAAGAAACTATGTTAGTGGTGCAAATAGTTACCAACTAAACATAATGCATTACGTTTTTGAGTCGACTCTAGCTGAATATAAGGATTATTTAATTGACAAAAGCTACGAAAGATTATTTATAAAATTAAATGGAAAAAATGTGAATCTCTCCTCATTTTAAGAAACTTTGAACTCTGAAGCAACAGTCAGAGCCTTAATACAAATAAAAAATCATTAAAGCTGAAGCCTTAAGATTAGATTAAACAAATCTAGCAGCTAATTTGGTTTACTACCTACCACTATAGAAAAGATTCCGCACGAACATCACGTATTGGCGAGCTGATAAGAAGGGCCACGCCTCCGTCTGAATGGAAATCTTTCACAAGCTATCAAGCTGATGGTGCAAAATAGGCAGTCACAATAATTACCGGACAGTCAATATCTTATCAGCTCCAAGTGCGGGGAATTAAACCATAATACCCTACCCCGATTGGGGTTCTCTCTTTTTCTGCCGTCCGAAAAAACAAATGGGATTTTTCTACTTTTTATAAAAAAGAGCATCCAACAGGAGTTCATTTTTTAATCATAGGTACCAAAATATCAGTGGCACTATTATACACGTGCCGCTTATTTTGGTGCTTTGAATTTCATTGGCACAAGATAAATATTGAGGTTGATAAAGGTCTTTCCGGATTTATGGTTTTAAAAGCAGTAGCAGTTGGCCAAGGTCTGTAGGTCCTGTCCTGATAATTTATCACATATAATATGATATTATTATTTTAAATGTATTGTATTTTGAAATTTGCCGATATAGCGAGACATACTCATTTTTTATCCATATTCACATATCTCTTACATCGAAAATTAAAAACCAAGTATGATGTGTAGAAGGTATTTAAATGTTAATCATTTTTACTGGAAGGAATTTTACATTTGACTGTAAGGTAGCAAAAAAGCTTTGCATACTTCTCGGCCAACGGTAGAAAAAGACCTAGAAAGCCAATTGCACTTTGAAAGAGCAGCCACATTAATATTAAATAAAACAAATTTTTTAATTACGTTTTTCAAAGAGGTTGTCCACATTTTAGGCAATTTTTGTATGTGCCAACATCAGAAAGGACATGCCAATAAAGCTTAATCAGTTCAGTAATGATTCAGGGGCAATAATAACCCCTGATTCGGTGAATCAGTACAATGTACAACATATTAAGTAGTAAACAAAAGTCAGCTGTCTCTCGTTCTGCATCGCAGTGGTTATAGTCATGTTTGTACTATTGGCTAGGTATCCAAAAAGGCCGAAGGTGAATGCTTTCCCAAGTCTAGCTACTCGTTATTTGCAATACAATCAAGGTCAATCCCCGGAGCCAAAAATTCGAGAGTATTTTTACTACATTGACCATGAGGGAATGGTGAGTTCTCATACTGTGAAAATATCTTTACAGTAAACAATAACTATTGCAGCTCTTCTTGGACGATGCAAAAATGAAAAACTTCACCAGCTGCTTTAAGGAAAAGGATTTTCTCAGGTTCTTTTTCAACCGACTGCGGGTGAACAAAACGAATAGATATGAAAGCGAGTTCCCGTTTATTTCCCTTTGCGGACGGGAGAGGAATTTTGTACGATGCGACGATACGCCTCTTGTGTTCACGGAACACTTGATAAAGGACGATAAAGAGGTGCTCAGCTATGCGCACTCGGGTCAGGTCCTGACTCTGCCCTACGAGCCCCACAAACTGCACATGGACCCGCGAAATGGAAGGGTTTATCACCCAACCACGCCACAGGTGGGTGGAATCGGCCTGGTCCGCTCTAAGCTGGCCATAGAACTTAGCCAGCACTTCGAGTTCCCGGCTGGTGAGGCTTCCCCCACTCATTTTCAGTGGAACGGAGAGCGATTGAAACTGGAGAACGAATGGGTTAGCAACACCCAGCGATTTCCCATGAACGAGGAGTGTATATAATCGAATAACTTTAATGGAGTAAAATTGAGACAACGTTAGTACTACGTTTTGAACTTACAGGGCCGACGAATTGCTTCTACTCAATACTGAGAGGCTTGAACTCCCCCTCCTTCACCCAGGAGAGACCAGTGGTGTGGCCTCCGTTGGCCTGTTGCGCGGAGGTTTCCGCCTGCTTGCTCCTGCCAGCCTTTATTCGCTCGAGAACGGGTCCGTGCAGATCCGGCTGGAACTTTTCGAATACTATGTAGTGCGGATCCTCTGTGGGTGGGGTGTCAAAGATGTGTTCCTTGCTCTCCTCAATGTTTCTCTGGACGCGGGTCGCGAACTCGTCTTTGTCGGTCAGCAGCAGCTGAGCAGCCTCGCTGTTTTTAACTTTGTCCACTTCAATGCCGCGAACACTATCCACGGGGTCGGCGAAAATTGCTTGGACGTACTTGAGCAGCTGCCAGAGGTGATCCTCGCCACAGCGCCACTCCGGAAAGGCGTGACTTACGTCCAGGCTGTGGGTGTACGGACACACGTGGGGGTGCAGCACATTCTGCTGGAATATAACGGTCTGCGGAGGTATGTTGATGAGCATTTCCTTGGTTTACCTTGATTTCACTCACCGGAAGGCTCTTGTCTTCGGGAAACCGATCGGGCAGCAGAATCGAGAAGCGGAATACGCCTCCAGCATATAATCCTTGGCGTCCAAAGAGGACCCCGAACCACTCTGAACAAAAGGTAGAAATTAGACAATGGGTTCATATAGAAAACCTGTGGGATTACTAACGCAATGAATTCGCATAGCTGGGTATCACATATAAGCCACTTAACTTCTCTGATTCAATCATTTTGCTAGAATCAAAGATATAGAAACTAGTTTGTCTTTACTCATTTACTAAACACCAAAGCAACTCACTATTCTGCCAGAATTTTATATTCCTGCTGGATGGTGGCGATCAGCAGCTTGTCGTCCTTTTTATTTCCATCAAAATCAAGCGTCATTTTGAACAAATGGGAAAATAAACAAAAACTAACAAGCAAAACGAAAAGTGGGCTTTGTCGTCCAGCTGTTTGCAGAGAGTTGCCACCTATTGGCATGTCACAGTTGGAATCAGATTCTTTTGCAGCCCTGGTTGGCCAAATAAAAACACAACATGCGGAGCTTGAAGACCTGACAAAAATGACCACGACTTTGGAAGCGCAGCTCTTAGACAAGTTGCAAGTGATGGACGACACTAAAGACAACGCCCAGCAGCCGGCGAACCAGGAGGAAACCGCCTTGACACTTTGTGAATCCAATATTAAGGCACCGTCACCGCCTCCTACCGTTAGTGTTGCCAAGACCTCCGCTCCCGAACCCGAGTTCTACAACAAAGCACAGAAGTACTGGTCCGAGGTACCGGCAACTGTAAACGGGATGCTCGGTGGCCTGGGCTACATCAGTGCCATTGACATCCAGGGCTCCAACGTGTTCCTGCGTGAGATACGCGTGCCGGGTAACAAGTTGGCCCTGGACTGCGGCGCTGGAATCGGGCGGGTGACCCGGAACCTTTTGATCCCGCGCTTCAGCTGCGTCGACCTCGTTGAGCAGGATGCCGCCTTCGCGGAAAAGGCTCGCGAGTACTGTGGCACTGAAGACGTGGGCCCCGGAAAGGTAGGTCAGATCTACAACGTAGGACTACAGAAGTTCGCTCCCTCCCAGCAGTACGACCTGATCTGGAGCCAGTGGGTGCTGGGGCATCTCACGGATCGCGACCTTGTTGCCTTCTTCCGGCGCATCAAGCAGGGTCTGGCGCCGGGAGCCTTCTTCTGCCTGAAAGAAAACGTTAGCAGCTCCAAGCAGGCGATACTGGACAAGGAGGACTCCTCAGTCACCAGGCCTCTGGACAGCTATGAGCGTTTTATTAAAGAAGCCGGATTTCGTATAGTGCGGAAGGTCAAGCAACAGAACTTTCCTAAGGGACTCTTTCCGGTCTATATGATAGCCTGCAAGCCCGTTTCTAAAGTTTAGTTAGTTTAGATTGAACTAAAGATATTTTACCACAATGTCACATTACTAGCTAGTCATTTAAAATTGTATCGTTTTGAACAGCAAATAAACTTGCTTGCAAGAGCTAATTCACGTTCCTTAACGAATATGAATGTAATAATTAAATAGTTTTTTAAATGTGCAACCCGGTAGACCAGTATTTCCCAAAGTGTGGGTCGCGACCCACTGGTGGGTCGCGGGTAGATTTTTGGTGGGTACTAATTGTCATATAGATCTTGCAATTTTTTGTATAGGTGGGTCGCGGTCCCGAAAAGTTTGGGAAACACTGCGGTAGACCATTCCTAAGGTGGCTAATCTGAGCGATGTTGCCACGATACAAAACCAGAAAAAAATTTAACCCTTATTAGTTTTTTTTTTATGTTAAGTGTTTTAAGTGTTTGTACTTCCCTTGGGCTAGGAACTTCAATGGGTTCCCCTCGTAATTTTATTAAATTTAAATAAGATCATAGAGACATAGAAAATAAGGATAATTTGCAAAGTTATCAAAACTGATTTTGTGAAAAGGCTGATATTTATGAAAGTATGGAGTATTATCGTTTCAAAAACAACAAACACCAAAATGGCTGTGGATCCTGAGCATTTGATAACACATTAAAGTGCTAATTATAATGACAATATGACAAAATAAATAGTCTCGGGTTTTAAAATCAAGGTTTTAATGAGAGCAATAAAAGAATAGATGCCAAAAACATTATCTCACTGCTATAAATAAATCATCTTTTGACTTTCTGAACGATAACCTGTTAGGTATACACCTGCAGGTTATACGAATGGATCCTGTCCACTGACATTGATATGAGGAGTTAACAGCGATACACTGATTACAAAATTGCAACCAAAAATGTCCCTATCTCCAAAATCAAGTAAAACCCAATGTTATGGCGGGACGAACTTAAAAACTGCGAAGAACAGCAAATTATTATTAATTTATATTTTATAAACGTATATTAACATATTAACATATACATATAAAATATTATTGTCGTCAGCCTATACTGATAACCGCAAAATAATAGCCTCCATTCATAACAGAACAGATAGCGCTCACGACCCGAAATGGGGTTTTAAATGTTTTCTTTTCTACTCTTAGATGCTTAGATTTTAATTAGCATTATCAAATAAAGTAATAAAACAGCAAGAAAATAATGTTAATCATTATATAATATTTGTGTTCGGTTATTGTTCGTTCAAACCTCTGTACGATTTCGTCAAGGAGAAAATAGCTCGCAGCTGGATCGGTATTTATGGGTTAACTTAGATAAGGTTCGTTTATTGATATCGGTCAAACACAGGACGATTTCGGCCTGCATCCATATGTTCTGACCTATCACGTCACGTCTTCACACCATCTTCATTCCTATCTGTAGGAATTTATTCTCTAAGATATCTGTGTCCTAATGGTATTGTTTTTACAGGCTAAGCAATGGAACAAATAATTGTTATCTAGAATATACCTAAGTAAATATCCTTTAACCCAGAAGCATCTATATAAAGCCTAAGTTTTACTCAATAAAATTAGTACGAAAAGAACTCTTGGCGTATTCACTTCTCCGGAGCCCAATTTGTATTGTATCTACTTCTTGCGGCGACTTCTGCCACTGGTATTGTACTTGCGGCACACATCAAAAACATAATTCTATATTTCAGCATTCGAAATCCATTTGAATTCATACAACCTCAATGTTCCGTTCAGAAGGTACAGCCTGTACTTTTGTGCACTATCCGAACACTATCCGTATGAACAACATCCATAAATAAAATTTATGACACTGAAGCGTGGCTGGACCTGTAAAATATTTCTCCTTTCAACGTTTCTCCTTATCTTTTAAATATGTCCTTTTTTACCTGGTTGACCTTCTTTTTCTAAAACCCAGAAAACCTTGTCATTAAGAACAGAATCGTCCTGCTTGATGTAGAAGTTTAAAATGTTTAAAAATTAAAAAAATTTAAAATGTTTAAAAATTAAAAAAATGATCAATGCCTTATCGCAAATTTAAATAGTCACAATCGCAAAATGGTCGTCTGCTTAAAAAAGGTGTTATTGTGCAAAAAAAGAGGCTCCTTATCTCTAGCCTGGGAATCGATTCTAAACCGCCCATCAACCGAATACCAAGCATCTCGAACCTAAAATAATGCGGTGAAATAGTCAGTTCTCTGCGAGTCGTCGAAGCGTGCAGTCGTTCGGAGTTTATATTTCTCGTTGGCTTCAGTTCGGAATTCAGTTCATTCGCAATGCCTCTGGAGAACGACAGTGATGTGGAGATCATTGAGACAGATCAGGCTCCCATCGATCAGAATCGGTATCATCGCCATTTCCCTATGGAGCCCTTTAAGTGTTCCGCCGGTTTCCAAGTCCCGTGTGGCCTGCTTTCGCCACCGCTTTCGCCCAACGAAGATCCCTGGCCATTCGCGGACCCGAATTCGAATGAAATGCCCCTGCTCAAGGAGCTCCTGGCCCGCAATGGAGCGGCAAATGTGCCGCCGGGATTCGTGCTCTGCATTCCATGCTACCTGTGCCAGCAGCCCTTCAACGACATCGAAACCTTCAAGGAGCACCTCACGCAGCACGCGGCCGAGATCCACGCCTGGAACACGCGTGCGCGGGTGCAGGAGCCGTCGCCGATGTTCAAGCCCCTGGTTCAGCATCAGCCGCTTGCCCTGCCCATGACCGTTCCCATGCAGTTCACCACCCAGCCGCCGTTGGGTCTGTACTCGCCTCCCGTTCAACAGAGCATACCGCATCCAATGCAGTTTCCCATGCCGCCGCTCCAGCGACAGCCACCCGTCCCGCCTCCAGTGCACTATTCCCTCCAACACTCGCTTTGCGAACTGCCGGCACAGCCAGCTCTGGGCTTCCCAGGACCCAGACCCGGACCCGTTCAACTCCCAATGCAGCAACCCATGACACCGCAATCCCCGCTCGAGTTTCCCGGTTTCCCCGTGGTCAACTCGCTTCCTGAAAAGCATCGGCCCCAGCTACCGATTCAAGTGCTGGAGCAGAGGTTCTCCGCGCCAGTGAGGAGCTCCGCGGCAATGCAGGAGCCAGTGGTTCAAGTGAAACCGCGACCCTTGTCGCCGGAGCCAGTCCAACCGCGATCCCGCTCTCCGGTGCCGGTGCCGGTGCTGGCGAAGCCGAAGCCCTCCTCGCACGGACTCTTCGAGTGCGACTGGTGCGGAAAGCGGCTGAGCTCGCGACAGTCTCTGAAGTACCACGAGAGCCACTTCCACTCGGACGACGAGCTGCCCTCGGACCGGAGTGGCCGGAATGTGCAGAAGCAGCACAAGTGCGCCACCTGCAAGAAGCGCTACAAGCGGCGCACCTTCCTTCTGATGCACATGAAGGTCAAGCACGGGGTCACGGGATCGAGCGCAGGCAGGTCGCTTCCCGCTCGGGAGTGCGCAAAGGGTGCCGATGCACCATCGAAGTCCCCGGAGGCTGCCGTCTCCCCAGTCTCCCCGAGCGGGGAATTAAAGCGGGAGATCTGGAGCACACGGGTCTCCAATGCAGTGGCGGCAGCCAATTACAGACCGGCCACCGAACGGGCGGACAAGTATCTCAGTGCTCCGCAGCTGGAATCGGGATTCGCGGTGAAGCCGAAGCGGACGTACCCGATGCGGTCGCCGTTCTTCAATCCGTACGTCCAGACCGGTCTTATCAGCTCCCTCCATGCCCTCTAATCTGTCCTTCTTTCCAGCGACTTGTGGCTCGACTGCGACGCAAACCTCTAGGGAGCTCTGGACCGGATCGGAGGAGAGTCAATATCCTGTTCTAACTATTTTAGCTCATCGGAGACGATAAAGCCACCGAGCGGATATCAGCCGAGCTGGCCGACCGATTACTTAAGACTCGAAAACCACTTCATATTATGGAGCGTCCAAAGTATGTACAATGTACAGCGCACATATAGAATTTCACGAACAATATCGCTCGCGTTAGCGATATTTTCTGCCGTCTCAGCACTTTGGAGCTCGACATCGAGTCCCAAAGGGATAGCTTTAATAATGATTACGCCGCAAAAACAAAATAAATTCGCTGAGCTCGGCAAAGAAATTTGAGAATTCATAAGCAAAAGTAAGACCGTTGGTCTTGTGTGTCTTAAAAAAGAACAAATAAATAAAGAGCTGTGTGTAAACAACCAAGCATAACGTGATTTTAGTGCCCTGCAGAACTCTTAGAGGATCCATTAAAACGGTACTTCTCAGCAGGATTTCTCGGATTACACGCAGCACTTAAGGCATAGCAGTCTCCCGCTGGGATTTTACTGATAGTCCCTGTAAAGTCCAGGACATGTGACACCCACGTGTTTTTAAAACGTTGAAAAGGGACCATCGGGAACTCAGATTTACATTACGAGTCTTTATCTTTCGCTGCTATACATTTAAAGCTACTTATAAGCTTACTTAAAAGCAGAGGAAATTTTTCTTAATTAATAATAAGGTCTGTAAGTGTGTATTTTCTTTAAAGCATGACATTTTTTTGTTTTATGTATTATATACACTTGTATTCTATTAAAACTTATCAAAACCGCAGGGAGCTTTGTGTGTGTGTCGTTCTTTAAACTATTCAAGATTTTGTTTTGTAATTACGTCTTAATTTATGCATTTTATTCGACATTTGTGATGACTGCAGGGGTATCTAAACTTCCGCTCGCCCGTTAAGCACCCGTTGAAACACTTATCAACTCCGCAGGGAGCTTTTTTGCGTGTCATTCTTTAAACTATTGGCGTTGTTGTTTTGTAACTACGTCTTCATTTTTATACCATTGCAGAGCCAAGAGTATTATAATTTTAGTCAGAAGTTTGCCACGCAGTGAAGGAGACACCTCAGACCCCATAAAGTATATATATTCTTGATCAGCATAACGATCAGAATCCAAATACGTCTGTACGTCTGTTCGTCTGTCCGTCTGTCAGTTTTTAAGGAAACTAGTCTCTCAGTTTTGAAGTTATCATGCTGAAACTTTCCCAAAAGTTGTGTAGTTATTGCACGCAGTATATAAGTCGGAACGAGCCGGATCAGTCAACTATATCGGATGGCTCCCATACGAGAGATTGAGAAAAAAATTCTCAATCTCAAGTCGCATCGACTTGATTTTTTCCAGATAGTGTTTATTAACAACTGTCGAATTTTGGATTAAAATCGGATAACTCTATCATATAGCTGCCATAGGAGAGATCAAAATATAATTTTATATAGAATTAATGGAAATTAATTGATAACGTCATTGATTATCACACGACCATGCTTTTTTGAGTATCAAGTTTTGTAACAAGCCTTGATTTATAAAAAAAATGTAATAAAAATCGGACAACTACCTATATCATATAGCTGCCATAGGAAAGATCAAAAAATCTATATAGAATTACAGATATAAAATTATAACATCGTTGTTATTCATCAGAAAATCATGATTTTTGGAATATAGAGTTTTCTAACGACTCTTGAATAATAAATAAAATTTCATTAAAATCAGACGAAAAAATATGGAAAATTAATAGAAAAGTCGTCGTAGCTTCGATGTCGTTTAGGCTTTGAGTATTTGATGCATGCAAGGGTATATAGCTTCCTTTCTTGTTATTTATCACATAAGAATTTAATTGAAACACATCAAATTTGCAGGGAGCTTTGTTGTGTGTCATTCTTTAAACTATTGGCGACGTTGTTTTGTAATTACGTCTTAATTTTTACGGACGACGTTTCTTTTTTAATAAGCAGATGGTTCACAAGCCACGCTCTTTGCTGTAACATCTGAACTGTCAGGACGTTAATTCAGATCCTGTTTTTGCTTTTGAATTTTAAATTATTTTTCTCGCATTTACGCACCTTTACGCACCTGCTAAAAAAGATATGCTCTAATAATAATCAGGATATTTTTATTTATAGGGGTGTTTTACAGGTGTTTGTTCGTCTTTTTAGGTACAGTTGATAAACAAAAGAAACGGGAGCTCTAGAACTCTCCAACGCTCTCCATGTTCCGTTTTCACTCTCTTTTTTTTCTGACTTCATGAGTAGGGTCAACGATTGTTTGGGAAAAGAACAGTTTAGTTTTTCGTGATGTCGGGAAAGGGCGCCGATCGGTGAACGTGGAAACAAAATTCTTCAACATCACGAAGTGTGACAAAAGATCGGAACTTGCAGTAGGTTTATAATGTTCATAAGTAATTGTAATACAATAATACGTACTCGAACTGTTTGTGATTGTCTGAGAGTGATCGCTTGTATAGCGAACAACTTGTCTTTCAGATTTTTACATTGTAGATCTCAAAATATAATACAACACAGTACACAAATCCAGTTTAAAACTTTCAGGAGAGAGCCAATAATGGAGGTCGTCCTGCCGGAGATTCATTTGTCGTGCTTGTTGTGCGACCAGACTTTCGATTCCGTGGACAAGTTAAACGACCACCTGTCCACACATTTTCCCCAGCAGGTGGCCAGGAACCAGAACTGCGATCTCTGCGGACGCGGAATGCGATCCTCCCTGGAGTTGCACGAGCACTACCAAAGATTTCATGAGGCCCACGTGCCTAGCACGGACGGCCACTTCTCCTGCCAGCTCTGCGATAAGATGTTTCTCCTCCAGGAACACCTTAAAGTCCATGTGAAGTTGGACCACTCGACCGACCGCTTTCGATCAGAGAAGTCGTCGGAGTGGGAGAATCCTAAGCCCATCAGCATTGATTTAACCGCCGACGATGAGCTAGATCCCATCCTACTCCCACCACCTAAAAGAAAGTATCCGCCGCGTTCCCCCTTCTTTAACCCGTAAGTTGAGATGAGATACTCCACGATTCAGCAATTGAAAAATTAAATTTTTTAGAAATCTTTGGCTGGACCAATCTTTCATGTGAAGAAACTCTGTAAATACACGGTATCAATATATACCTTCGAAACCATGGTTACTTATTTTATTCAAGTATGAATCTTAACCTAGAGCTCTTCGCCAAATGAAAATACAGTAGAATCCGCTTATAGCGACTTTCAAGGGACCGACGAGTTTTCGTCGTTATACCCGGAAGACGCACTAAGTAAAAGGATTTAAGAGTATAGGTCTGTCTGACCAATCAAGCCATCGAGTTTTCGTCGCAATACCCGGAGGGACACTATAAGCGGAGTCGTTTTAACAGGATTCTACTGTAATAGGCTCGAAGAAGAAGTTTATTGAACGTGAGGGCAATCCCGCTGAAACAAAACGCATTCCTTTATGATTTAATTAAAATGTATTTCGCTTTATATATTGATGTACTCGTATGTGTATAAAGTATAGTACAGAATATGTATATGGTTTCGATTAGTCAGCCCACTCAAAGAACGACAACTGTGTCACCTGGAGTACAGGGTTTGGGGTCTCTTTATTGATACAGTATAATAATCCTTCTAAGTTTAAGACTTTCACTTCCTAGCAGTCCAATCAATGCAATACACAATACCGAATCTGTTCCCGTACAATCGTTTGAAATAAGTTCGCTAACTACAGTGCAACAAAGCGCCTTCCCTTTTACTTAAGAATAAATAGACTGTATGATGGGTTCTTTTGGGTTCCGAAAATAAATACTACGCAAAACAGCAAAAAAACGGATAAGCTATAACAATTCGTGGGCTCAGAGTTTGCAGAATGTTTGAAGCAGTTGGAACGAACAAAAATCGCGTTAAATTATAATTTACAACAGTGATTCGTTATATTATCGCATAAAATATCTATAATAAATAACAGCGCAATCCGCTTGCAGGGGAGCTCTACTGATTGGTTAGCTGGACTTTTGACTAATGTTCACCTAACTCGAACTGGCAACGATTTCTAGTCTCGGTTGTGACAAGTCAGCTCTCACGCATTCTCTATGTTCTTTAATTGATTTAACTTTTTTTTTTTAGTGCAACAAATCAACAAATAAATAAATACATGCACTTTTAAATTACCTAAGCCGAGAGAGTGGTGAAGAATGGGTTACCGGGGGAGGGTGGGGGAATCCAGTGGTAGTGTGTCCCGTTGTGGCCTTCATCGCCTGCACTCGCTTTTTGCTTTTAGTCACCAGAGTCTGAGTCTTTATGGTCTAAGAAACTCGTATTTATGTTGCATACAGTAGTGAAGGGATTCCCTGCTTATGTACTATTTAACCTGAGCCCGAATGTGTTGCAAAAATTCATAGTATGACAAACTAGATTCACTGCGATCGTCGGTTAATCTCTCGATGAACTGGCCCTTGGCCGTGCTCGTGTCCCTTGAAATTGGAAAACAATTATTGCAAAAGAGAACTTCCTTTTAATTATGGGCCTTCGGCTTACCTAATGATCTGAACCAGCGCCGAGTAGGGCTTATCGTAGTTGAGTCGCAAGATGAAGCGCTTTAGAACATCGTTCTCGTTGCTTACGACGTTTGGCAATCCGTATACATAGTCACCCAGCTCCGCGGTGGAGCTAATGCCTAAAATGCGGAAACGTTAGCTACTGATCTTGGGTCGCACGGATTTAGGTGTCTTACCCAGCACAGCCTCCAACACATCAGACGGCACATTTAGCCCGACGTAGATCATTATCAGCGTGCCGCAATCCATCAGGAACATTGACCGCGAGTCCAAGCTGTAAGAGAATGAATGGAATATCCGAAAGGAGATCAAAGTGACCACTACTCACTGCTCCGCGGAAAGTTGCAGGCGCGGCAATTCCGGCAGCGGTTCGTCTTCCTCCTCATCGTCCTCTTGCGTCGCACTCACGTTCGAGTTGCGGGCGTGGTAGATCAGTGCGTCGATCTTATACAGCTCCGGGTAGACGTACTTCATTAGCTGGTCCAGCGGCAGCGTCTTCATGCAGTCCATGGCGAAGACGCGGTCATCCAGTCGCGTACTGGTTCCCACGCGGAAGGCGGGCTGAAAAAACGGGCGGGTTAGGCGGGGTGTTTAAGTTTCGTCTTCCGGTTAGATACTCACATGCTTAAGCAACCCCAGGATATAGAGGGGCAACAAAGCCAGGCTGCGCGGGGCTATCAGCTGACCAGACTGCCCCGACGGCAGATTTTGTGCGATCTTGAAGGCGTTGTACACGTCGATCGTGGCGTTGATAAAGGCGTCTCGTGCGTCCGACAGGTTAGAGGCCACGGAGCGATCCACAGCCATCTTGGAGAGCAGCCCGATGATAGCCTCCGTGTCCGCCGAATGCATAACTTCTGGGAGCGAGGCGGTAACCGGTAGGCACACAGTATGCACCCGAATGCGACGCTCTCCCTCGCTGTTCGTGTAGAGCAGCGCTGCCTGGAAGCAGATTGTCTTCACGTCCGTCAGGCTCTCCTCGTAGGAGATCTGCATGCCGTAGCCCGCGTCCGGATTCACGTTGGGCAGCGAGAGCAGGTCTGTGGAGCGCACAAAGAAGTTGCCGTGGAATGTGTGCACCTGCAGACCGCGCGTGCACCGGATGCGCATCACCGCCTCGAAACCGATCTTTCGGGTCAGGTAACGCTTAAAACACGACCGGAACGAGTCCACCATGTGCGGCTTCGTCTTCTGATAGAGCGGAAAGTGGTGCACACAGCCGCCGCTGTGCTTGCTAATGCCAGCTAGAAAAACGGAAAGATGTGTAATTGTCCGATAGCCTTGTTCTTTTAACCAAGTGATTCTCACAGATGGTTGCCATGTCGCTGTACTGCTGGTTCATCAGGAAGAGGTCGCAGGCTATCTGATAGCCGGAGCACTCCAGGGCGAAACGCTTGTAGAAATCGGTGGCCGGATTCAGATGGGCCACATCCTTGGCGGATCGATTGTTGGGATCCTCGCGCGGCTCCAGGGCGCCGGGTCCCTTGTTGGGAAGGCACGATTGAAAGACGGTAATGCGGCCGCCAGATGCTTGCTGGAAAAACCGGAAGCAAGATATGTCAACACTTCCTGAGACTTTTTTTAGCTCCACTCACCATTAGCTTGAAGGCCACCTGCAGAGCAGCCCCCAAGGCCGAACCCGGATCGTGGGTGTGAGCGAACCGCTTGGGCAGCTGCTTCAATAGATCCCTCACCAGCTCCTTGCACTCCTTCAGGTTGACCAGCAGACTGTCGGGGCGCGGCAGAAAGGGGTCCTCGATGTCCAGCAGCGTCATCTCGTGCGGCTGGTTGAGGCCCTCGGCCATGCTGTAGAAATGCACGAAGCTGTCGAAGCAGATAAATCCCACTTGGGTGCGCGCGTCGCCGGGCATCTCGTCCAAGTGCCGGTTGAGCACGGCGCAGGCCGCCTCCAGATAGCCGCTTTGCTGCGCGATGATCGAGACGTCGAAAAGGAACAGGTACATGGCCGGCTGCGGCGGACGCAGCATGTACTCCGAGGGGGCGATGAACTCGATTGTGCTGGAACGCACCTCGGGCCGTCGAGTCACATCTCCGTACGTCTTAGTGGCCGGGTCGAATTGAAAATCATCCGGCACTGCAGGGCAAGAATTAATAAATTAGTTACTCTTTTGGAGTTTTAAAAGATCTATTAAGTTACATTCATTGACGCGATAGCATAGATTGCACTTCCACATCTTGCTGTCCACGAAGTAAACGAAGGGGTTTATGTAGGTGCGGCACAGCCGACAGCGCACGATATTGATGCACTGAATCACGGGCAGACTCTGTAGAAGATAATTAAATATACATATAAGCTCAGTCAAACTAGAAGGGTTTTTATGATTGTTCTCACATTGACATCCCGGAACGGATGAATCACAATGCCCAGCGGCAGCCTCGACTTCTGCAGCAGCGAGTTGCTTTCGGGAATTTTGGTCAGAGTGCAGCGCATGATGCTCGGGCTGCAGTTGATGGACTCGTGGAACTGGTTGTGCAGCACCACCTTTGGGGGCGGCAGCGTGGCCGGCGACAGGATGTGCCGGTTTTGCATCAGGTCGATCGTATCCTGACCCCACAGCCGGCTGAATCCCTGCTGAGCAACGCTCACTGGAGCAGCAGTGCTAAAAGGTCCGCCTGGAGCCGCCTGTGGATGCTGGGGTTGCTGTCCATAAGCCTGAGGAGGAGCCTGGGCTTGGTACTGCAGTGGAGCCCCTGTTGGCTGTGCTCCAAACATTCCTGGAGGAGGTGGCTGCACTGCAGACGCAGGGGGAGGCGGCTGCTGTTGAGGCGCTTGTTGATACGCCTGGGCGTATGGATAAGGCTGCGCTTGCGGTGGTGGCAGCAAGGGCTGGGCTCCCGGCACCGTTGCCTTGGGCAAACTGGGCGGCCAGGCTGCTCCCGCTCCCGGGGGCGGCGCTGCCCTTTGCAGGTTGTTGTTCTGCTGGTTTTGCAGTTCGGAGTTTGCCTGAGGAGGAGGCACTCCGTAGGGTAACCTCTGGATACCGCCCACTGGGGGCGGCGTGGGTCTGACGGGTCCTGCTGCACTGCCAAACATCTTTGCCGGATGCGGAGCCAAGTTGGGAGGCTTTTGTCCGCTAAACGGCATCGCCATGGAATTGGAAACTACAGGAGGGACCACTCCGCTGACGGTTAACAAACTACCAGCATCGTTTAACTGCTGCGGTCCCGTCTGCGCCGAGGCCACGCCCCTGTAATCCTTCTGCGCCAGAGACGGAAACTGCTGCGTTGGCGCTGCTACGGCGCTGGCACCTCCGTTTGTCCGGTTGGGGTTTAAGTTAAGGTTCTCCAGATTGCTTGTCAAGTTAGCCAAGGGCTGGCTTGCCGTTTGGGTTGTGGGACGCAGTCCTGACGCCGGCGGCGGATTGTTTAGCGTTGCGGCGATCGGTCCTTGGGCATACTGGGAAGCAGCTCCCACTGGCCTGGGGGACGCAGTGCGCGAAGAGTTGGCGCTTGACGCCCCATTGCTACCGTTAGTGAGGGGTGGGCCGTTGACAGTGGGTGGACGCAGATGTGGCGGAAGCGTGCTGGGCGGCAGCTGCTGCTGGTGAGGAGTTGCTCCTGACGTGGGTGGCAAGAACTGGCTCGCAATGCCGCTGTTGAACTGCGGCGGCGGTGGCAGGTTTGCCGGTGGTCCAGCTGCTGGATATCCTGCTGCAAGCGGAGGTTGCTGGAACTGCTGTGGCTGCTTTTGTGGCAGATACTGTTGACTAGTTGGAGGAGCTGGCTGCTGCTGCGGCTGCTGGGTGGCACCTGGCAGGCCGTTCATCAGATTGTTGCCGTTAAGAGGCATGGGAGCGTGGGCGGGAGGCACGAGGTTCGGATTGTAAGCCGACATGCTACTAATTCATAAGTTCGAGGTCTGAAAGATGGAGAGTTATTTTCTGTTAGTTGCTATCTTATCACCCGCGAAGGTTGCTGCCGATCATGCCGACACGAAATTAGGCGTTATCTTATCATTCAATGCCAAAAAAGCGGGTTACATGAGCGGAACGTGCAGCAGATATGTGCTTGAAGATGCGAGCAATCAAAGCTTCTCCAGCTGACGGGTAGCTGCATCGAATGCAGAGGTACCTGAACAATTGGAATGTGAGAAGGTGGTATTACGCGGCTTTATCGTTCAGTTGGCTGGCTGCGTAGGTAAATATCTCCAGCCAATGTTTACAGAAGTGTGTCTACGTCAACAGTAAGTCGGAAATAACCTGGTAATTGTATCACATTCGGCTGTTTAAACAGCTTGAACGGCGGAGCGTAATGGTTGTGATGTGTGAGAGCCCCTCAAGCACTTGACCTCGCCACCAGTGATCGTTGGGAGTTGGGTCAAGTGGGTGGTGACCCAGTTGCACGAAAGCGAGCGGAAGCGGAAGGAACCAACTCCGTAACAAAGCGAATTTTTGATGACGTGCCTATTGGCAAAGTCATCCCGCCCCTCCCACCAATCGCCGTCCCACCACCCACTCATTTTAATTGGGGGCAATCAAGGCGTATCAAATGGGGTGTCCATATCATTGTTACCCGTCACTTATCACCTGTCCGAGCCGCAGTGGCATGTAGTTTCTCGACCAGCACTTGCACTTTGTAGTTGCCTCTTCTTCTTGCGCCCTTGATTGGCGATTTTGCTGCGGGCTGCGAATTGGCTTTTCCGCTTTATAACACGTGAAAAGGCGGCGGGAGTTGAGAAAACCGCTGGGTGGGAACTTGTCAAATGGATTTAGGTGAGTCCTGGGCCAGTTTTTCTTCCGAAGGCGATTTAAACAATTTTCACGGCACTGCCCTTGCACTCTCTCCGCTCAAAACTTTTCTTTCTCTCGCGATTTTTAGCGCTCCCCGCGTGTTCCGGATAAGTGCGGGCACGTCCTGGACTAGCAGGCGGATTCTGTGGACTTGGTGACGAGTTTTACACAATTAAAAAATGCTAACTTTTTGCATTATCCGGAGAGAACAAAAAATTTTGAGGCCACGTCAATAGTGTGACCGTGCTTTATTAAAATAGTGGTGGCACTGCGCTTGGTCGCCTATTGTCTGTAAAGTTTAATATATCGATAGAGATAATTTACATATCTATGTCGATGTCTAAAAGAAGACCGTTACAATTTAAATTGAAAATGTATGCAAGGACAACCTTTCCTATTTGAGAAACTCTTTTGTTTCCTTAAAAAAATAAAATGAAATTAAAATGCATACCATCTACTGTAAGAACAAATCGCTTTATTTGCAATAATTGTATCTGGGGCTTCGTTACAATCATTCTGATTGGGGAATTTGCTTTATTTCTCGTTTAACACTTTGGTTAAAAAGGAAATCGAAAAAATATATACAGATTCTGTGCACCCGGGAGTGGATACAGATTCCAATCTGGGTTCTTAGGACTTGTATTCGTTTATTCTACGGGTTAACTAGTTCGTTAAATATTACTTTTAATAGATATCGAAGCGTATTTACTTTATTCGTTTCATTTGCGTTAACTTTGCGTGAGAGTATTCGGTAGCTTTGCTGTGGTTGTGGGTGGTGTTGGCCTTTCGTAGGCTCATAGATTTAAAATTAAAGTTACAGTTTGTCTGTGAATATCTCAAGGAGTATTAGCAGCGGACTGTTAGTAAAGCTTTATTCATTGTGACAAGTGGAATTCGAAACATAATACTAGAGGTAATCGTATAATTGAATTTGATTAAAACTATGCGATTGGAAAATCATTGTGCACCGTTTTCTGGATGTCTGTTGGGGTCTGGGAAACAAACGTAGAGGCAGTATCCATCAGATACTAGCGTGTCGGTATTGTATTTCGTCTATAGCAGAGTCTTTTATTTCAAAAATAGAATTTCTATCCTTAAATCTCTATCATTTCGTAATCTACAACTTTTGATATATCCCTTTATGTATTGGTTTTCCTCTTCATTGTTGCTAGTTAATAAATGTTAGTATGAAAAGGTATTGAATAGGTGTTCTTGTGTTGCAGTTTACTGCGATTGCCTTTGAAACACTCTAGTACTTAGTAGTAAATAATAATCGTTAATTGTGTGTAGAAACTGTGAGTGTCTTTGTTTTGTCTGTCTCTGGTGAGCTGTCGAGCTTTACTCGTGTTTCAACCTTATGAGCAGAGCTCCTTCTGTTTCGCTGCCTGGTTGTTCGTGTACATTATTTACAATTAATAAACAGACACTGGAGACCACGTCCTCCCTCCATTTTTTCCTGCATTCGTTACGTTGGCTCGCCAGTGTTCAGGGGTTTGCGCACTTGTGGAATTAAACATACAGTTGAGGCTCGTTCTTGATATGATCCATATATATAGGCGATTTTGGTGTTGTTGCTCTCGACGCCCGGCGCTGGCATTATCTCTTGGCCTCCTTCTCCTGCAGATACATGCGCTGGCTCAGCGGCTTGGCGTAGATCCAGTTGTCGCCCACGGGCTTGAAGTGCTGTGGGGATTCTGGTTAGTAAGCTGCATCCGAAGAGGTACGAATAGATTACCTTGTGCTCCCAAGCCAAATCGTACTCCTTGCGCACCTTTGCCTGGTCACGCTGCTGCTGCTCCACCACGAACTTGGCGGTGGTGGCGCGCTCGATGTCGTTGAACCTGCGGGAGAGCAACGAACAAGATATCAGATTAGTCTGCCTTGCGTTCGGGGGTCAAAGATTAATCGGCTGATTGGTGAGCTGTTTACTTGAGTCCCGCTGTCACTTCCTTCCAAACGCGTCGCGACTCGTACTCATCCTGCTCAACGATTGGTCGAACTTGTTTCTTAAATATGGGTATGCGATTTACGTCGACGAATACTTCGGTTTTCTAGAAAATGCAAGAGATTCATTCAGGTTCACTAGGCGCTCAAGCTGATTGGTATCGGTCTAATGGTCAACACACAACAATAATAAACATAAGTACGGCTATTAACAATTTGAAACACAACTTTGGACAGACAGGCAGGGGAGTAGTTGGTGGGTTCGCTTTTCTAGACAAACAAAGTAGTCCCACAGAGCAAATGCTCCCGAGCTATTTAAGAGAGAAGCAGAAGAATCGTGGATAGTAAGTAGAGGTAGAGGTGGGGTGTGGAGAGTGGATGTGGCTGCCAACTCGAGGCGTTGTTTGTTGCAGCGTTTTGGCACGGTATGCGGAGGAGAAAGTACACAAAAAGGTTCAACATTTACGGTAACTAGCTAACTACGTGTAACGCACAGATCTTACGTTACGACTTACGTTTTTGTCGTGCCACTTGGCCTCCATCAGGCCGCTCCACTCGCCGGCAATCGAGACAAAGGGCTTCTTCTCGTTGGGCGCATAGACCTGCGGATTCTGTGGGTCAGTACAACGTCCAGCACAATTCGAGGAGCTACTCACCTCAGCGGAGACCCTGTTGCGCTTGCCGCCGTAGAAGGGCTTCGTGAGGAACTCCACGTTGGCGTAGTAGCCCGACTGCGGGCACTTGATTTCCACCGAGCCGCCGAGCTCAATCCAAGGCACCGTTAAAATGGACCTGCAAATGGATGGTTATGCAGTTTTTCAGTTAAAGCTTTTCCTGGGGTAAGCGCCCACCTGCCGTAGCCGTTGGGGAAGGTCACTATGTACTCCTCGCTGCGATCTACGAGGGTGACAACCCCCTCGCCAATGTTGTGGACTCCGATCGAGAGGCCCAAGAACTTCGACTTGGTCCAGACATGGGCCGCAAACGTTATCTTCTTATTGTAATGCTCCGCATAGAAGGCAGAAACTGCAATGAGTAAACATGTGAGTATCTCCACTCGAAGAGGCTTCTCTATGAGCATTACTTGGCGGGTGGTGCGACACCTGCTCCGCTAAAAAGGTGAGCTGATCCCGGCGGCACCAAGGCACTGGGCCGTCGCGCACCTCCTGGGCATCCTCGGTCTCCCCTGGAATTGGAAATAAAACGTAAATGGAGGCCACATACCAGCGATTCGGCATCACCCACCCGGAATGTCCCAATGGCACTGAAAGACTTCGCCCAAAATAGGGTTGTAGGGCTTCTTGGCCACAGCACTCTTGCGACCCGCATGGTAGGCACTCATGTACCAACGGCAGACCTGGACGATGCGGTCGCGCGGATCTTCCAGATCCGAGATTCTGTGGGGGAATATGGTTAATGGGTTGAGACTGGGTGAGACTTCTAAACGCATACTTCAAGAACAGATCGGGATGTGCAAAGTAGTCGGCATACATCTCCAACAGCGAGCGGCGCTCGAGGATGAACGTGGGCAGCACCACTTTCGTGAGGTCCATCCCGATCTTGACCTGCGACAGCAGGTGCGTGATCATCGAGCCGTGCGCCTCCATGCTGAGGTCCGTCTCCTCCTCCTCCTCGTATAAGGCGTCGTAGTCTATTCCATTATCGTAGCTGGCACTTCGGGAGCTGGCCGCGGTCCTGGCCGTGTTGATGCTGGCATCCGCATCGGCCGCGCTCTCCTCGATCTCCGGCAGCGCTGGGGGGCGGCTGGCTCGCCCGAAAGCACTGGCTCGCAGCCAGCGAAGCCGTCCGGACCCTTCTCGTGGCTGGGCGACGTGGTTTCCGAGAAGCCACGCGTGGCGCTGTTGAACGGGAAAGGAGAGGTGAAGTGGAATCAGATCGGGACTTGTTGATGGGGGTTCCTGCGGCGTCTGGGCATAACTAATGGGCCGACAAAAATCCAGAGGCGTGATGTCAGCGTGTACGAGTGCGTGTGCGTCACTGGGACCAACAGCCTCCACAACGGCTCCCCCTCTCCTTCTCGGCGAGCTCTGTTGCTCGCTTCATTAACAATTGATGGGGGAAAACACTTACGGCCCTGGCGCCCATGTACGTAGTACATCCTCACCTCAGGCTCACGCGTCGGACCCACTTCTTGAACATTACGGCGAACTCTGATGCTGGCCGGATGCTTCACTGCACTGCCAACAGCTGCATAGTTTCGCTCTGGAAGCGGAAGCCCTCGAATAGAAGCCTGGAGAAAAGCCGCCAAAGGGGCTAGGCCATTACTGGTGGAGGCAGAATCTGCTGAAAAATCCAACCGGGGAGCGGGGAAGGGGCAACTTGCACCCAAAGGAGCGCTCTGACACTGCGACCCGATGACGAACGAAACTACAACTGACAGGCACACACAATGGCGACTGTAACTACGACTAGGCCGAAGGATGGCGACAGCGATGGCGAAGGCGAAGGCGATGACGAAGCGAGGCGCCGACCGCGAAGCCGTGTCAGCTGTGCCAACAGAGCCACGACGAGTGCCCGGGGAGCCGGGGAACCGGAGGAGGAGGTCCTGTATTTATTATTTACACGCGACTTGGCCGAAATTACAGGCTGCCCCGAAACTGCGACTGCGACTGCGACGAACTTCGGCACTGCATTTTGCATGCGCTGCCTATGCGCATGCGCTTCTCCAGAGGAGCAGGAGCGAGAGCGGGGGAAGGAGAAGGAGCGGGGCAAACAGGCCAGGAGATGGGGGTTCCGGACCGGAGGGCAATGAATGCGTAATTTTAGCACGCAGCTCACATCACACACAACACACAACACATTACACATTACACAGCACGCTCGCCGGCTGCCGCATCGCATCTGGCATCTGATTGATGGCCAGTCGGCTCACTTGGTCAAGTGGGCTGCTGCCTTGGCTGCTGCTTGAAAGAGCTGCAAGTGGTCCACTCACCAGCCAATCGGGGAGCTGCCTAGGCTGGTGAAGGGATCGTCGTAGGCATCGTAGAAGTCCTCCTCGCCCTCGCTGCTCGAATAGGAGGTCTCCGGCACAACCAGGCCGAGAGGAGCGGTGGTGGCTGGGGGAGAAATGGACGAGCGATTAGGGGTGTGATTCAAAACGGAATGGGGCGCTCGAATCGAATTCGATGGCATCTTGACCCTGGCTGGATTACCGGTTGCTGGGCCAAGAGCACCACTCACCGTTCTCAGTGGCCGAGTCGTCCTCGTCGTCGCCCAGCTCACCCTTGGCGCCCTCCAGGGGCACCTTCAGGCCGCCTGCCTGGACGTTGTTGCTGCTGCCCGTGGTCGCCGCTCCACTGGCCGAGGAACTGGTCGAGGCAGTGGCCGGCGGCCCGTTGTAGATTCCGTTGATGGGGTGGGCCATATTCTTGGCGATCTGCAGGCTGACAATCGAGTGCTTGATGTGATCCAGCATGGCCTGAAACGAGAACGCGCGATTAGCCGAGCGCGGTGGCAATGAACGTCGATATGGCCTCGCCAAAGTTCGCTGAGGAAGTGAGCAGCTGCCGCTGGTGGCCAGCTGCCGGTTGAAGGGCATTCTCCCAGGCGTTTGCATCCGGGCGCCTGCTAACCCTGAACTTGCATTGGAAATCGATACGGGTGGGTGGCCCAGTCGGCCCGGCAATACTGTTCACCTGGCAAACTCCGTTGGGAGAACGAACACACATTCCAGCAATCCGACTCTCTAAATTCCCAGATTGGCCAGCGAACAGAATCACATTTACATGGATTTCCTTGATCCTGAGCTCCACAGCTTCGAAGAGGTGCGTGCCCAATTCGAGGAGTACAAAAAACAACACCAGCTGGAGCAGCAGGAGCTGCACAAAAGGCTGGAGTCCAAGTTCAACTTGGATGGCGATCTTAAGAAGCTCAACTCCGCCATGGAAACCCTCCGGGCAGGGATGCAGAAGCTCGAACTAGAGCAGCAGAGTCAGCTGTGCAATAAAGAACTGGCGACCAGCGACGAGGCCATCGAGTCTGCTCCAGCGGGCCAAGCGGACTCTTCTGCCCAGGACTGCTGTACCAAGCTGTCGCAACTAGTGATCAAGTCCGGGGTGAGCAAGTGCCTCTTCGAAAACTGCCAGAGGCGCGTGGACAACCAGCTGCTCCTGCTGCACTACCTCTGCGACCACGACCACAAGGACGCCTCCTTTCAACGCTGCCAGCCGCTGGTGGAGGGTGAGCGGGCAGTGCTCTCCTTTCGGCCGCAGGGCTGCGAGTTCCGGGTGAACCAGGTGCTGGGACTCCTGGCCTACAGTGGCCTGCCGGAGCAGCGTTCCCCAGCGTCCCTTCGGCGCGGGGAGGTCTGTAACAGCGTTCTGCCACAGGATCACTTCCATCTGGAGGCCCACGTCCCGGTTGTGGTGCTCATTTGCCGCACAGCGGCACCAGCGGCTCTGAGGAACACGGCTCTTCCGCGAAGGGGCCTGCCCTCCGATCAGGTGTACGTCCTCTGGCTAGTCACTCCCAGCGAGCGGCTGCAGCTGAGCGCCACCCTCTCTCTGAGCGGCAGGGATGCTGCTGTGCGGGCGAAATGCGTGGTGGGGGTTCGGCAGGTCAGCTCCAGCCAGGACACGGACTGCTTCATGGCTATCGACGAAAACTACTGGCCGCTGTCTCACGCAGAGGTGACGAAGCTGTCTAACAACTTCCGCGACGAACTGCACCTCGAGGTGTCGCTCGCGGACCCAGGCTCCACCGGCACGGCATTAACCGCCTTCAACTTACACTTGCGTTGTCCTGCAGAGCCTTGCACTTGATCTGCTCCGCCGGGTCGGTCAGCTCCGCAATGCGTTTGTCCAGCAACTGAGTAGAACAGGGTAAAAACGAAGTGACAGTAAATTGCATAATGCCTGCATTACGTGGCACTGTACTCACGTTCGTCTGCTCAATCATCAGCTGGAGGTAGGCATCCGCCTCGGAAACGCGGCGCGCCAAGAGCTCCAGGTGGTTGGGTCGTCTGCCGCCTGCCCCGGGTCCGCCCACCTCCCTCGTGTAGCCGCCGGCGATGTAGAAGGCGCTTTGGCTGTCCCACAGACGCGACCGGTTCGCGTGGCGACGAATGGTGTCCTCCAGTCGGCGAACCCACTGCTCCCGCTCCTCGCTGTGTCGCGCCTGCAAACGGTTGGAAAGTTGGCAAGTTTAGTGGGCTCCTTCTCGCTAGTGTGTGTGGATATTGGGAAAAGTTTTATCGTTACATCAAGGCAACAAAGTCAAACAAAAGGAGAAACGTGATGGCCAGACAGAGGTTTTCAGGTCGCACAACGAATACGCTTTCTCCGACTATTGTGCGCCTGTTTTCCGTACAACAGAGCTCTGATTGCCAAGGGGTCAGGATGGCACACACGTTCTTGCCTCGACGCTGCGCATTGGAAAAATAAACGTGTCTGTCTTTTCGATCCAATTGTTGCCTACGTATACTTTTGGTCGTCATAAGAAATCGAAAGTTTAATTTGGAATGAGTTCATCAAGTAAACAATGTTAAATTCTAATTTCCAAGGTGTTTTCTTTTTAGTATTACACCGGAAAAACAGCAACTCAACGATCGTTTATTCACCTTCGCATTTTATTTTAATTGCAAATGTTGCTTGTTCTATTTTCTACTCAAAACTTGCCTGGAAGTGGAAGGTCTTGTGGTCTACGGTGATCGTAAACGTGTTATCCTCCTGGTCGTCGATCCCGATCAGCGCGTCCTTTAAGCGCACGCAGCCCCGCCTCACGCCCTTCATCATCTTCTCCTTCGACTGAAAAAGAAGGACAGACGGAATTAGGCTACCTCATTAAAGCAAAAATGCTGCTGTCAAGGGTTATAACGCGAGCTACAAATTCATGAATTCTAATCAATGCCGGGGAATATAAAAACCGTGGTCAGTGGACTTTTCGCGCTTAATTCTGCGCCAGCGGTGGAGCAGCAACTAACCCGACAGACCCTCGCGAGCTAAAGGATACGGGGCAGAGCACACTTAAATATATTAACATGGAGGCGTCAAAAAGTGAGCCTCAACCAACTAAATAACCAGCCAGATTGTTTTGATGTGTCCAATCGCATTGCAGGTGCCAGTTTGCCGGCAGTTGTGCAGATATCGGGGGTCTACACGGATCCCTGGTATATGATAACAATACTGATCCTCTACCTTTACTTCGTCACCAAGGCGGGTCCCCAGTAAGTCCACATGATAAGGGCAACGCACTCGTTTGCACGCTTACGCAAAATCTCCAGAACAAACTTTTAATCGCATGCGCTTTGCAGATTCATGGAGCTCCGCAAGGCCTACGAGCTGAAGCGGCTGATCCTCGCGCATAACCTGATCCAGGTGGTGTCCTGCGTCTACGTCATCAAGGAGGTGGGTAGCTTGGACTTAAAGACGCCCATGCAGCAGCGGCTGATGGCTCTAGTTCCGTAGGTCTTCTTTATCACGGACAACACCATACTGTACTTCTGGAAGTGCCGCGATATCGGAAGCAGTCCTGAGCATGTGCGCCGCTACTACAGCCTGGCCTACTTCCTTTTCTGGCTGAAGCTCTCGGAGCTCCTGGAAACCGTAATTTTCGTGCTGCGCAAAAAGCAAAAGCAGGTGTCCAAGCTTCACATCTTTCACCATTTATCCACGGTGACGCTGGTATACTTGCTTATTAACCACAACGAGAATGGCGAGTCCTTTCCTCTTTACGTATTATCTATTTCTAAAGCGTCCAATACTCCACAGGCGACGCCGCTTATTTCAGCGTGTTTCTTAACTCGATCGTCCACGTCTTCATGTACTCCTACTACTTCTTGGCCGCCGTAGCCGACAAAAAGATAGTGCAGGCCCTGTGGCCTGTCAAGAAGAGCATCACGGTGATGCAAATGACGCAGTTTGCTTTAATCCTGGTCCAGGTGGCCTGTCAGATCGTGCTCTGCGGCACGCCGCCCTTACAAATCATTTACTTCTCCGCCGTTATTGTGGGCATGTTTTACGGCTTCTTGGACTTCTACAATAGTGCCTACCAGGGCTCGCAGCGCTGCAAGAATCTGTCTCCTTCGCCCGAAGTGGGGAAATGATCCCACGCAAACAAATCTCGCAATAAAAGTGCACAACCAACAAGTGTGTGTATCCAAATGTACCTAGTGCAGATAAGATAAGGCCACAGCCGCGGCAATGGGTTCTGGGGTTAGTCACTCGCTCTACAGCGGTCACTTACCGTGTAGTATGACAGCAGTCCGGCGTTCTCGTCCAGCACGAAGAAACGGTACTGCCATCCCTTCATTACGTTTGTCCACTTGCTCAGCGTGCCCTCCAAAGTGCCAGTGGCCCCCGAGCCTCCGGCTGCACCAGCAGGGACTCCCAGGCTGGGAGCGCTTCCACCGCTGCTGGCCATGTCCTCCAGTTCCCGTGACTCGACCACCGCCCCCTCCCCCTCCACTGATCCGTCTTCGTCTTCTTCCCCAGTGGCGTTCCGTGTCGCCGGCGATCGCTTGGCTCGATTTGCGAGCTCTTATCTGGCCAGGAGCCGATGATGACGCAATGTTGCTCCACAACTCGCACCCGCAATCTGTCACAGCAGCTTCGCTCGCTTGGAAAACAAAAACATCGGTCTCACAAGTTGAAATTGTTCGATTAGAAAATAGGGTTGTTGAAAATATATCAAAATATCGATATTTTTAAGTCATGCATTTACATATAGGGATATTTATTTGCCTAAATACCAGAATACGATTTTTGTGTTGTACGATACTTTGTCACTTAATAACTGAATTCCTTTGAAATTAAAAATTAAGTGAAGACAATTTTTTTGTAAAACAGTTGAATGTTTGGTTGACCAATCTAATAGCTATCCTCTTACTATCCTATTTAACAAGTGTTGAAATAATTTCGAATCTCGTTTCATAATATTTTTATTTTCTTGGTGTCTTTATATTTACAATTATTTTTTGGGAACAAATACTTTTTAAGTGATGAGCCAAATATCATTTTGATATGTTTTTGGACAAGAATATGTTGTAGATACGATATAAATTCAACAACTCTATTTCCGCTAGGGCTGCAATAACATCGGTTTGTCGAACGATTGTAACGATTTTCTGACTCCTGTTATCCACCGACCGGTACGTCCCCACCACACTGTTATTATCGATTACCGATAGGCATTCGAGCAAGCTAGATAGGCCTTCAGTACATGTTGAAATAAATTCAAATTTAACAAATATGGTCATACTTTATTAGTTACCGCGTAAATCAAATATATCCTTTCCTCGTTGCCTATTCCAATTGAGTGTGCATGGGTTCATCACGCCTCTGCCTCTATAAAAAACTGTCACATTACATAAACCAATGATTTATTCGCTGCCATTCAAAACAAGTGAACAACGTTTCTATTCAACAGAACCGCCTAAAACTAGAAGACTTAATTCCTAAGGAAAACATAACAACTACGGCTTGGGACAGGGCACGTCATTTGGTCTCCAGCACTTAACTAGGCGTCGCCTCAAAGAGGACTCAGCCGGCGAAGAAGCACCTGTAGAGCATGTAGAGAATGCCGAATATCCAGAGGCCCTTGTAGACCTTGTCCACCACCCACATCCTGCGGAGAAGAGATCGTGTTCAGAGGGGTTTTAACAAAGCTGACCAGGGTTGTACTTACACCTTCATGTGCCTCCTGGCCGCCGGAATGGACTCGTCCGACTCCTTCAGGATCAGGCGGCGGGCGCAGAGGACGCAGTTGGTGAAGTAGTCGATGAGGTCCAGCTCGATCTTCTCGATGACGTAGGTGCGCCGCTCCCGGTTGTTCATCAGCTTGCGCAGCTTCACCGCCTCCGAGTTGTCGAAGTTCCAGACGTTGTTCGCGTAGTACTCGAACACCTCGAAGCCCTTGTAGATACGGTTCTGGACGCGGCACAGGACCGGCGGGTAGCGCAGCAGCCAGAGCAGACCGTCCACGAAGAGGGCCGGCAGCCACTGGAAGAGCACCATGCAGACGAAGTGCACCCAGTAGTTGGACTTCATGGAGCCGCCCGGGTACCAGGCCACGCCGTTCAGCGGCACCTTGTTCTCGATCACCCAGCGCCCCAGCTCGATGATCTCCGCCCAGGAGACCTTGATGTCGTTCGAGGAGGTCATGTGCGCCACCCGGTTGGTGGTGTCCGTGCCCGCGGTGATGTTGCGCCAGCTGGCCACCAGGATCCCGTTGACGGCCACGTCCACGGGCAGGAAGTCGCCGTAGCCCGAAGAGTTGCAGTACATGGTGCGGATCACGCCCTTGCCGGCTCCGATGAGCAGCCCGGTGGGGCCGTTGATGTTGTCCGTCCAGCCGGGAATGGGCTCCTTCCAGATGGGGATCACGATCGAGGGCCGCAGGATCACCGCCGGCAGCTCGTCGAACTTCTCCACCACCAGGGCTTCGGCCAACGACTTGGTGTAGGCGTACGTGTTGGGGATGTTGCCCAGCACCTTGCGCTCGATGGTGGCCACCTCGTCGTCCGTCAGCCACTCGCAGGCCTGCATCACCTTGTGCGGGTCTGCCGGCGGGTCGTAGGGCTTCTCGTAGAGCGTCTTCACGTGCAGGTGGCAGTAGGCCGTCGAGCAGTAGGCGAAGAAGTCCAGGTGCCGCAGGGTCTGGGCCAGCTCCAGCATGTACTTGGTGCCGCGTGTGTTCATGAACACGGCGTTCCGGAGCGGTTCGTCAAAGCTGGAGAAGAGGGGAAAGCACCATTCACTTTACAATGCCTAACTGTTTGAAAATGCATCCTTTTTCACGAATTAAACCATAAACCCTTGGAAGCGAGATTCCTATGGGGTTATAGTTCTGGAAGATATAATCTATATTTTGCAATCTGTCGTATCCTTGGGTAATCATAAGGGATGAAAGGGATTGCGCTTACCGCACTGTGGCTGCACAATGGTAAACGATGGACACCTCCTGCCGCAGCGTCTCCAGATCCTCCTCGGAGATGCCCAGTCCGGGCGAGAGGACGTCGCCGGCAATGGCCACCACCTGCTGCAGGATGTGCTCCTCGCCGCGGAGCTGCTTCACCTGGTCGAACAGCTGCGCACAGAGCGAACAACACGTAATTTGATTAATCCGTTGACTCGGCTATGAATTCTCATTGCTTCCATAACTCCCGCCCTGCTTACCACGTTCTGGAAAATATCCTTGATGCGCTCCTGCGGATCCCTGCCCTTCTTGGGCCGGATGAGCAGATAAATGCGCTTGAGGCCGCCGCACGACCTGCAGGAATTAATAATATTGCATAAGCCGTGGCGGAAATTGGGATTAATGGGGCCACGTACGGAAGAGCTGCCCCGCCCCCTCGCTCCGCTTAGTCTCCCCCACTCCGCCCACTCACCGCAGCAGCTTCTCGACCAGGACCTTGCCCAGGAAGCCAGTGCCTCCCGTGATGAACAGGCTGCGTCCCTTGAAGCACTCCGCGATGCGGTCCACCTCGCCCTCGTCCACCTCCCCGATGGTTCCCAGGTCGTCCTTCTCGTACACGAACTTCGGCTTGGCGGTCATCTCGGATAGCTGAATGCAGGTGGAAGGGGTGAGGGGTGAGTTAATTTAGTAATTGTTGTTTACTAATCATTGAACATGGGTTTTATAGTGCAGGTCTTAATAAGCTGATATTATCTTCTTATAACTAATTTGCTTTAGTTGAAAAGGTCGGATTGTAATGGCGTTCTATAATCTATTCTTATGGAAATGTTTCCCAAGTGTAAACTAGAGTAGATTTTTGGTATCCCCTTAAAACTCCATTTGATCTGTAAGTGGTTTAAAGTGGTTCCTCGGTAAAACAACTCTCAGTGATAACTGTCATTTTATCAGAGAAACATGATCTCCAAAAGTCGCGCTGACATTGTTGGGGATTTCTTCGGTCACTTTTGGAGCGGTGAGCACATAACGAATGTCGCCGCCAAGTGCACTTTTAATTTCATTTGATCTTGGTCGTAAAGGCGGTTATGAGGCAACCAACCAGTTGGCCGGCGGAGCGGCAATTGCAGATTAGGCCACGTTTGGCTGACTGGCCACATAACTGGCTGGCTGGCTGGCCGGCTGAGTGTCAACGCGGTGGCCATCGAGTGGGCAAGCGGAGCGACACCGATTCGGCGTTACGGCACCAATTAAGAGATTGCCACACCGTGTCCCAGTCGCATGCCCCGCGACTCGCACCACGGGCTCTCCGGTGGCGCTGGGTGGTGGAGCGTGTCCAGAGCCCCGATCCCCTATCCCCGATACCCGAGCACCTTGTGTCCTTCATCCGCTGACACATTGACCCGCATTCGGCACATCGCGAACCTGGTTATTAGACGCGCGGACTTGGACCCGGCTAACAAGGCGGGCAACCTGTAATCTTCTGGCTGGCGGAGCACAGCCCCTCTAAGCTGGGGTTGGGGTGACAAGTGGGTCTTGGCAGACTGCAGCTGCTCGAAGATTACACACCCTTGCGCATGAACACCGTTTAAAGTTAATCGGACAGCACATTAACTAGAAGTGCTTAACCTTGGACTACCTATAAGTGGTTTTCAAAAAAGAAAGTTATTTACATATGAGTCTAGATAATTCCGATGCCAGATCTATAGCCTAGATGATGCTGGTCAGGGGTATACCATATACTCTTATACTTTGTAGCGTGGCCTTGCCAAACCCAACCAGAGTGGTTATCCCACTGCGAGGGTATAAAAAAGCCGAACGACCAAGCGCGGCGATAAAAGCTCTGGTTTTATGGCGGCTCCGCGTGTCTGGGCCCCAGTTAATCGCGCTAATGGCTTTAGCATTGGGCCTAGAATGGCCAGCCTGCGGCCAAGATCGCAGCCATGGAGCGCGGTTCATTGCTGATACGAGTGCCAAAACTGAGGCGGCGAACGTGAGTTTCGAAAGTGGAAAGGGCAGGCTTGCCACACTCGGCCCGCTGAACCGCTGACCCGCTAATCTCGGCCAGCTCCGCTCTGCCACACTCGAGCGGCAATTACCGCAGTTTAGATCTGCTCCGTGGGCAATCGAGTTGGCATCTAAATCGCTCGGGAAGCAAGCGATTCCGGATAGCCGCCCCTTGCGCCGGTCATGGGAATCTGGCCAACGTTCCCAGCATTTGATCTGCAATCAGCGGCAGGCCCGACGACAGCGGCACTTGCTTGGGAGAACTGCCAGTGTCCAGGTGGCTGATGGCTGGCACTTGGCAGTTTCCCCATTTGGAAAAAAACAGCCGAAAAGAGCAGCGCCTGCTGCTCCTGGGTCCGTTTGCATGAGCAGCTTTTCCGCTTCTCCGCTGGGGACAGCCAACCAGTTTGGAGCAGGCAGAGATGTCAACAATGCGATAATAAAATCAAGGAGTCGCAGCAGCTGGACGAAGTCACGAAGCTGATGGTGGGTACATACAGTGGTTGGGAAACTTATTCGAACACTTTACGGCCAGGTCTTCTTAACTGAACCCCATGAATATCTTCGGATATTCGCCTTGGCCTTTGTTAACGAGTTTGATTCGCATGCTAATTGCATTAGAGCCACTGGAACGTCTTCGATTTTGACTACTGCTTCGCACCTTCACTTATCAACGCTGGCAGACCCTTTTAGAAAGATACTCAGATGGATTCGGATTCGGATTCGGATTCAGATACTGTTGACCCGCGCTCGCCGAATGCTAAACACAAACTGATCGCGAAAAGCGCCTCGCACTCCCAGCCAACCTAATAGAAAATAAAACGAAAACAACTTTGGGCCAAACTATGTATCGCATCTACTAGTTTGGCGCACACACAGCTGCGGACTCGGATACTCAGATCCGAGATCTGGTAGCTGCTTTCCGAGCTGGCACACAGAGAGAAACAGGTTCGTGACAGGTCAAAGAGGAATTAACATTTTTACGCTATTATTGCATCCAATGTGTGATAGGGATTGAACTTAATTTCTTTTCGTTGCATCACAACTTGGTCTTAAATCTCGCCGGAATTGCGTATGCACTTTCATCCCATTCTCCGTATGATTTTAATCTGAATGAGTTTAGTTAGTAATTCTTGCGCTTGTAGCTTTTTCCTAGGTAGAAACAAGTACACTTTTTCTTTCTCTGCACGCAGACGTAACCGAATGCGAGAGAGACTCAAGCAGGGGCTCAAAACCCCGGAAGGGGGGCTTCCCCTCGACCCCTTCCAGTCCCCTTAACCCCACTCAGCCCCCTAACTCCATTCGTCTGGGGTTAAACTGCTGGGCACTGACGCCTTACTTTATTTAACTAAATCAATTAATAGTTTCTGCGTAGGCTTACAACTCAAGAACTGAAGTCTAGTTGCTTAACGGAGTTACCATACAAATTCATCTGGGTGAGCAACGATCACCACTTAATCTCGGAGCCAGTGCACTTAGAACGTGATGCAATTTGGCCCGGCTAAACAATTCAATTTTCAGGCCAGCACCGCGTTGCGTTGCGCATACGCAGTGGGGTCCGCTTAGGGAAATCGGCGTGGCTCGACCATTAATGCCAGCGAACCGCATCGGAGGGTGGATCGGCGGAAAGCGGCTGAGCTGGCTTTATGGCACACATAAATCCCCATTGCGCTGGCCATTAATTAGGCGGACCTGCTCGGTTACAGTTGTTGGCCAAAACGCGGGCCAAAAGCGAGGCAGAAAACGAGATGCAAAAGAAGCTCAAAGCAGCTGAAAGAGAGGTAGCCGCAAATTGGCAATGGCATTGACATCGAAACAAAGCTCAGCATCTGCTTATTGGCTCTGATTTCTGATTTCTGATTTCTGCCAGGGCTGCAGCTAATCGGGCTAATCAAAGTGGCCAAGAGAAGCATTCGGAGGGGCATCAGCGAAGCTGACCTCAGGTCACCTTGCATTAGGCGCTCTCTTTTATCATATATATTATATTTACTGTATCAAAAGGTATTTCACGCCTTTAGATTTGTGTTCTTGTCACACAAAAGCCATAGCAAATGGTTTTTAGATGGAGTAATAATGTTTAGAAATAAAAAACCCTATGCCGTAATGATTTAAATTCGGATAACCATAATATTTGGAGTCCATTCTGTCAGCTTTGCTTACACACCTTTCAGAGCTTCTTTAGTTTATTCAAATTCGAAGAGGAACTAGAATGCAAATGCCTTATTAACAAAGTTTTCGAGACGGACTTTACAGATCCCACAGCCACGTGGACGGCGGAGCTGCTCTATTTTTAAACTGGGGGACTGGCACACGACTTGGCCTGGTCAAGAAACCCAAGCGCGGAGCCGTGCTTGAACTTGAGCTACTCTCGACTCATCTCTACTTCGGATTCCAGTTCAGTTCAGTTCGCTTTGCCAGCCAGCCTCCTATGCAAATGAGCCATCCGCAGACCTGGTTATCTATCGAGCGAGCTGGTGTTTGTTTTATGCGATCTTGGAGTGACGCAGTGACGCAGTGACACAATGACAATGGACCTGCCCAACAAACCCATTTCTGCCAAGTCATGCGAGGTGGCCAAAAGCCATTGATAGACGGCTCTCCGAAACTTCGGCCTTTGCGGGCCGTAATTACAGACTTCCGTCTTTGAAACAGTTTCGCAGCCCCACCCAAAAGATGGGATGGGGGTGGCCCTGGGGGTGGATGGATCCAGATGATGGGAAGATGGTATGTGGGTGCCAGAGGCGCCACAATGTATCCCGTTACAGGTTACAGGGCCATAAAGCGCCATAAACGCCGCGACGGCAAGGGCAAATTATAACGCATACGGACACGTAGTCGATCCGCTGGCTAGCTGGATGGCTGGCTGGCTGGCGGGCTAATTGGACGTGCCCGGCCAGGATGGCCCCTCCGCTCCCCTCCGCGCCCCTTAAAAGTGGGCGTAACATAACAATTGTGGGCGATTTGCATACAATTTGGGCTCGAGTGGCCAGCAGGCTGGCGACGAAATGTTGCTACGTCATTGTTGCCGCTCCTGGCTGCTGGCTAATAAGCCAGCTTGAATGCGGCTGCTTTCGGCCTTTGTCCCACTGACAGCCGCTGACAGGCGAAACAAACATATCACGGCTGACCAGAGACAGACAACCGGACAATGTCAGGGTTTATTGTTGTGACAGTGACTATGCAGCCGCTAATCTGCCGCGGAATAGCGCCTAAGTGCTGAAAAAGTGCAGTGGCAACAAAGCCGGCGAACTCCGAGCCCCGAGTCCCGTTCCAGCGAGAGTCCTCTGCAACATGTTGCCGCAGCACTTGTTGCTCGCGCCCACACGACACCTCAACGGCAGCAGCAGCAGCAACAGTAGCAGCAGCAACAGCAACAGCAACAGCAACAGCAGCAACAGCAACAGCAACAGCAGCAGCAACAACAGCAGCAGCAGCCTCCTTGGAGGCCCACAAAGGACAGCGTATAAAACAGGATGTTTCGGCAGGCACTCGCACAGAAGTGTTACTCACTCGCCCGGGCAACAAGTGTGTGTGCGACCAGGATCCCCGTTCCCGACTCCATCCCAGTTCCGAGTGCCCACCGCAGCCAAGGAACAACTTTAGAAGGTGAGATTTTGGAACAGGGGGCTTCAAAGGCATCCCCGAATGCTGAGCAATCAACTAGGCAGGGCCATCTAGATATCCAAAGTGCTCGAAAGTTACCAATTCTGAGGAAGCAAACACGAGCTATTCGGGGAATGTTAATTCTATTTAGTGCGAAGTGGGATTGGTGAAGTGAATCGGTGGCCTACAAGTCAAAGTTAATGACTAAAATGCTATTTTAATGCATTTCATTTTTAATAGGGAATAGTTTGCTTTTAAATCTTGTTTCATAAAATTGTAAGAGGTTTTGGCTTTCACTTTTAAGAAATTCGTTAATTTGTGAGATTTAAATAATGAGGCAAAAGCAGTAATAGTCTTGTTATAGTACATCTCCTTATGGGAGTTTAGTGTCTGTATTTAAAAAGCTTATACTATTTTTAGTTATCGCCCAGCTGCCCTTCAAATATCAACATTAAATGTGATTTCATAATCCTCGAATGGGAGTAATTTTTAATTGGCCCAAAGTGTGCGGCCAAACTGAGAGCAACTAATTCGGATTTGTCAACTTTTCGACTCTCGCCCCCCGGAAAATTAGTTGGGGTAGGGAAAATGCGACCAGGAAGTAGGCAAATAGTTTCCCCGCACCCAGCAGCCTCGTGGAAAAGTCGGAGTCGTTGCGGCTAATGAAGGCAAATTGAAATATTTATGAGTGCACTTTTGGGGCCCAGAGCAGAGCTAGATTTCCATTTGCATCCGTACTCGCACCTGTTGTGGCACAGGTGAGGATGGGAGGGGGGAGGAGGGGCAGCACTCTCCACTCTCGGCTGAAGCTCAAGAAGTGCAAAGCGAAGCGTGTGCAATTTTTGATTTATCGCCGACACCGGACAGCTGAAATGGCCGCGCCATCATTTGTCTCCGAGTGTCCCACTGTCCCGCTTTCCCGCCTGGCTGCTCCTGCCTGACAAATGATATTTAAATGCCGCCCGGGTAATGTGCTCCACACATCCTGCCATCCTGCCATCCTGCCAGCCAGGAGTTGCCAGGCAGCTCCAGCTACTTCAAAGGCATCCTGCCCCACCAGGTGTATCGCATAATCCATGCAAATCAGTTTAGCCCCGAGTGCCGGGTTTCATCTTCCACGCGCCGACTAAGCGAATTAACGAGTGTGTCATCGATACCACCTCCAGAATTATGAAGGCGTCGTTCAGGCAGTTAGGCAGTTGGGCAGGCAGGCACTCGTGAATTATAAATGCACATTTCGGCATCGCGAATCAATCAGACGTTTGGCAATTGTTGTCTGCGCACTTCACATCGCCAACTCCGCTGAATCCACTGACTCCTCAGACTCCTCTGACTCCTCCGACTCCTTGCCTCTGGAGAGGCTGTCTGTCATATTTTTTGGCGAAGCAGGCGCCTTGCGAAACTCCGGTTGGAGCCCATAAATTAAGCGCCTCCGACCAGTCTCCTCTTTATGGGACCCTTGAGTCCCAACCTGTTGCAATCTTTCGCTGCAACTGCAAATGCAACTGCGAATGCGAATGCGATTGCCGTCGGTTGGGAAACGGTGAGAAGTGCGTATGCAAATCTTCAGACGGTTCGTCTGGGCCATCTCCGCATTTGAACACTCCAGCACTCCGACACTCCGACACTTGAATGGCTGAATGCGAGTCTGATTGCCGCCGAAAGTATGTTAATGCGCGCGTTGCGAAGTCCGCTCATCAGCCGCCGACTTGGAGGTCAAGTTTTTCGTCGCGAGTTGTCTGGCCAAGTTTTTAATTTCTTCGAGCGGAGCACTGGGCAGAAGTGCTAATTGGCCGCTGATTGAGGGGCTTGGGAAACCCGTGGAAACCCCACTGGCTGTTCTTCTCTTGGCACTTTGTTGCAACCACAAACTGCTCTTCAAAGTTCTGCGGAAAGGAAGGGGGGAATATTATGGCCACATGGGGAAGGCAAATAGTACTTACTGTTTGACAAGCTGAAAGGGAAAGGTGTTCGGTGACCCCGCTTCTTTGTTTGAAGTCCAACTTCGGCTGTGAGGAGCCCTTTCCCCCTGCCCCACAACCTGTTGCACCTGCCACACTCGCATCGAGGCGACGCAGCTCGGCAGCTCCGCAGGCTGAGCCGTCACCTTATCCAAAAGCCATAATCATTTGCATCTCTAATGGTGCTGCTCTGTCGTCGCCCGGACACCATACATCAACGCCCCCTCCCCCTGCCACGCCCACCTTCCGAGGCGAGCAAGTGTTAGTGCCTGTAAACCCGTCATAGGTGGGTTGAGTGGGCGGAGTGGGAGCCATTGTCCTTGCGGTGGCCTTAATGCGGCCGGTTAACTTTTTACGCGCCGCCCAGCAGATCTGGCCATAAATATCCTGATGGTTAATTAGCAGGACACTCTGCTCTGAAGTCTAGTGTCCTGACTCCTGGTTGGGGCTACTGTTTCGCCGGGTAAAACGAACAGCCTTAATGTGATTAAGAGCTGCAGTAGATAACGCGAGAGGTAATTACCACCCACCATTGCTCACTTCGCCTTCCCTGCTCCTCCTCTCCTTGCAGATGGGCATCGCGCTGATGTTCCTGCTGGCGCTGTACCAGATGCAGTCAGCCATCCACAGCGAGATCATCGAGACGCCCGCCTTCGGGGGCAACTCCCTGCAGGACTCCGGGGCGCCTCCCGCCCCCCAGGATAGCGAGCTGGTGGACGCCCTCCTCGCCGGCGACCAGGACGAGCAGGCGGAGCTGGAGTTCCGGCACCCCGTCTCCGTGATCGGCATCGACTACTCCAAGAACGCCCTGGTGCTGCGCTTCCAGAAGCACGGCCGCAAGCCGCGCTACAAGCTCGACCCCGAGCTGGAGGCCAAGCGGAGGTCCCTGCAGGACAACTTCATGCACTTCGGCAAGCGGCAGGCGGAGCTCCTTCCGCCAGACGGGGGCTTCGGGGGCTTCGGTGGCTCCGCCGAGCTGGAGGGCGTGGGCAAGCGGTCCGTCATGGATCGCTATGGCAGGGATCCCAAACAGGACTTTATGCGGTTTGGCAGGGATCCCAAGCAGGACTTCATGAGGTTTGGTAGGGATCCCAAACAGGACTTCATGAGGTTTGGCAGGGACCCAAAGGAGGATTTCATGCGATTCGGTCGCGATCCCATGCAGGACTTTATGAGATTCGGACGTGATCCCAAGCAGGACTTCATGCGGTTTGGTAGGGATCCAAAGCAGGACTTCATGAGGTTTGGCAGGGATCCCAAGCAGGACTTCATGCGGTTTGGCAGGGATCCCAAGCAGGACTTCATGAGGTTCGGGCGCACTCCGGCGGAGGACTTCATGCGGTTCGGGCGCGCGGACAACTTCATGCGCTTCGGACGCAGTCCTCACGAGGAGCTCCGCAGCCCCAAGCAGGACTTCATGCGCTTCGGCCGCCCCGACAACTTCATGCGCTTCGGCCGCTCCGCCCAGCAGGACTTCGTGCGCTCCGGAAAGATGGACGCGAACTTCATTCGCTTCGGCAAGAGCGTGAAGCCGGCGCAGCCCGAGTCCAACCAGACCAAGGCGGGCCAGCCGGGCGAGCGGAGTCCCGTGGACAAGGCCATGTCGGAGCTGTTCAAGAAGCAGGAGCAGCAGGAGCAGCAGGCGAAGAGCGGCGAGCAGGCGAGCTCCGTGGACGAGGGCAGCGCGGAGCAGGAGCAGGAGCAGGAGCAGGAGCAGTTCTTCGGCCAGTGAGCGGTGCTCCCTGAAAGGTCCTCCTTGTAAATAGATGTTGACAAAGGATCCCACTAATCGTAACTGACATACGTATACGTACTCCCTCGCCCCTCACACCACTCGAACTCCCGACAAACGCCGAACCCATGAATTTTTAATGAGGGCTGGATTAAAAATTCACTGCGCTTTGGAGTTCTTATCTATATATATATCGTTTATAAGTATAATCTGAACGCATCGGAAGGCGTGAAACGTTCCAAATAAAGATTGCTCCACTGTACTCCGAGGTCAGAAATGCATGGCGTTGGGGAGGGGATGTGCTAGCCGGGATTTGGTCAGAAAAATAACACAAAGAAGCGGCTGAAATAAAAAGCCCATTTTAGTTTTTAATGCTCTTGTATTTTGAAGGGAAGTATTAGACTTTAGGTCTCTTCGGAAGGAGTCGAAGCTCGCACAGCCGTTACTTCACAATAAATTTTTCCGAACCCGGAAAATATTATATGGGCATATCTCGATGACATTCTAATTCTATGGTATTTAGAAAATCCACAGAAAACCATTGGAGAGTCAGGAGAATTGTCGTCGAACACCATAAGGTAACTGTACCTGCAATTGGGTCCCTTAAACAAGGATTTTTACGAATTAAAAATCAAGATTCTGGAAATATACTGCTTGGAAAGTACTTACCCCGAATGGAATATCAATTGAGCATTGGAGGTCAATTACGTTATCTGACCCCTGTGCATGTGCATGCCACCTGCAAATAGGTGGCGTTCTGTAGAAGTCTGGATATAGGGGAGTCCGTATATCGTACTTTTCACCCGTCTTTATTACTTGATGCAGAGAACACTAGAAAATATGAGATTAGTATTTGATAAAATGTTTAAAACACGTATTCTTGGTGAGCGAATCTTAGACTCAACCTAAATATTTTTTATTGAAATTTAATACTTTTTTAGCAGGAGATAGTCATTTACTTCGACTGTTTATTTTTTTACCTCTTCAGCATTTGCTTCTGGAATGTGCAGCCAACCGCATAAAGCAAAGAGAAGTGTGAATATACGCAGATCCATTACAATTTAACTTGATTTCTGTCGGACCGAAAAGAAAGTGCAGCTTTTTATACCAATGGGACGGCCAAAAAAAATTGACCGATAACTTTTACTATCAGAATGATTTGTGTTTGCCTTTGTCTTCTCTATATACATAATATGTATATATAAAACTGATAAAGTTTTAAATTTAATTGACAACCCTTCTTCCCCAGCTAAATTTTTCACCGCGTTTCATATAGGCCTCGTCCTCGCTTGTCACCTACCGGAGCAGGACATCCGCCGTCCCCATCTTGGCCAGCACCACTTTTTTAAAAACCAACTTTTCAGGGTAAATTTTAATTTGGGATGGTAACGGCTTTTGAATGCTTGTCAACTCTGCAAAGGCAGCAGGTTCTGTTCGAGACAAAAATCTCAACAACGTTTTTTTAAGATGGTTCGCGCCCACGCTATAAGGCCTTTTTTAGTGCCAATTTCCTTATCGCCCAGCTGTGTAGCATAAAAACCGCTACTTGAGAATCAAAAGCAAACACTTTTAATATTGCCATTTTATTTATCAGTTTATTTGCTTTTTAAGTTGGCAATCACAATCCGAAAAAACTTCTTTGCGAACGGTATTAATTGCCAACGAACTTTGGAAGGCGCTACGTCATCAGCCGGACGGGTCTAAAGTCCAACTTGTTGCACCGATCTTGTTGTTAGTGTTGTGTTTGGGATCAGAGTAAACACAACAGCATACATATCTACATATCTAGGAAGAGTTTTTAAAGAGTTCCTGAAACTCTTCCCACTTCTAAACCGTTATCAGCTGGGAACGGAATAAAAGATGTCGGCGCTGCTAAAAATGCACAGAGGTAAGTGTTCCCAGAATCCCAATGGCTGGCATTACATAACCGCAAAGACGCGGGGAGACCTCTTAGCCCCACAAACTCGGCAGATTAACCGCAATCTGTTTCCTCGCAGTCCAGCGGCTCTTCAGGCCCTCCTTGGTGCGCAGCATCTCGGAGGCGGCCAAGTATCCGAGGATCACCACCCACTACACGTTGAATCCCCGCGAGAAGGACGACCGATGGGCGGAGGTGGACATGGAGCGCTGCATCGAGGAGGTGGACCTGGTGATCGTGGGCGGAGGGCCTGCCGGCATGTCCGCCGCCATTAGGGCCAAGCAGTTGGCTGCGGAAAAGGATCAGGTGGGTTGGCCTCTGCATGTCCATCTCGACCACACACATTTTATCTTCGACATCTGTAGGAAATTCGAGTCTGTGTGGTGGAAAAGTCCGCCGAGGTGGGCGGCCACATCCTCTCCGGCGCCGTCATCGATCCCGTCTCGCTGAACGAACTCATCCCCGACTGGCAGGAGCAGGGTGCTCCTCTGAACACCCCCGTGACCAAGGACACGTTCTCCTTCCTCACAGGCTCCGGCCGCATCTCGATCCCCGTCTTCAAGGGCTGGCCCATGGACAATCACGGCAACTACGTTGTCCGTCTGGGCCACCTGGTCAAGTGGCTCGGCGACCAGGCGGAGGCCTTGGGGGTGGAGATCTACCCCGGCTGTGCCGCTTCCGAGGTGCTCTTCCACGAAGACGGCAGTGTCAAGGGCATCGCCACCAACGACGTGGGCATCGCCAAGAGCGGGGCTCCGAAGGACACCTTTGCCCGCGGCATGGAGCTGCACGCCAAGACCACCATCTTCGCCGAGGGATGCCGCGGTCACCTGACCAAGCAGATCACGCAGAAGTTCGGCCTGAACGAGGGCAGCGAGCCGCAGACCTACGGAATCGGACTGAAGGAGGTCTGGGAGATTGCCCCCGAGAAGCACCAGTGAGTAGTCGTGCCCAATACTCTACCGATCATCTCCTCACGCGAATATCCCCTCTTGCAGACCCGGCTTGGTGGAGCACACCATCGGCTGGCCCCTGGACCGGTTCACCTACGGGGGATCGTTCTTGTACCACCTGAACGAACCCACTCCCACCATCGCAGTGGGCTTTGTGGTGGGCCTGAACTACAAGAACCCCTGGCTCAGTCCCTTCCAGGAGTTCCAGCGCTTCAAGACGCACCCCAAAGTGCGCCACGTCTTCGAGGGCGCCACGCGCATCGCCTACGGAGCGCGAGCCATCAACGAGGGCGGCTTCCAGAGTCTGCCGCAGAAGCTTTCCTTCCCGGGAGGCTGCCTGGTGGGCTGCAGCGCCGGGTTCCTGAACGTGCCCCGCATCAAGGGCTCCCACTACGCGATGAAGAGCGGCATGCTGGCGGTCGAGAGTGCGCTGGAGGCCATCAGTGCGGGCACGCAGTCGACGGCTGGCGTGGAACCCACTAGCTATGCGGAGAAGTAAGTGAGGAGTCCTCAGTAGATGGAAATACAAGTAACCGAACCATTTCCCCCCAGAATCAAAGACTCCTTTGTGTGGAAGGACCTCTACAACGTGCGCAACGTTCACCCCTCGTTCCACAATCCCTTGGGCCTGTACGGCGGTCTGGTCCTCAGTGGCTTCTCCATCTTCATGGGCGGTCGCGAGCCCTGGACCCTGAAGCACGGGCCGCAGGACCACGAGTGCCTGCAGCCGGCCAGCTCCAGCAAGCCCATCGTTTACCCCAAGCCCGACGGCAAGATCTCGTTCGACCTGCTCTCCTCGGTGGCGCTCACGGGCACGAACCACGAGGGCGACCAGCCCGCCCATCTGACGCTCAAGGACGACCGGGTGCCCGTCGACCACAACCTGGCGCTGTACGAGGGACCCGAGCAGCGCTTCTGCCCCGCCGGCGTCTACGAGTACGTGCCCAACGAGGAGGGCGGCAACATGAAGCTGCAGATCAACGCCCAGAACTGCATCCACTGCAAGACCTGTGATATCAAGGACCCCAAGCAGAACATCAACTGGGTGGTGCCCGAGGGGGGCGGCGGCCCCGCCTACAACGGGATGTGAGGGAACGGCCCCCAGCCCGTTCGAGTACCGTGTACCGCGATTGCATTTCTCTAGTTTGTAAATTGATAATTTGAACCCGCGATTCGGAAGTAAGCTTAAAGTTGCAATAAAATTGAAATAAAAGAACCAGAGTCAGTTGCCAAAAAGGTTTTATTTAAAATGTTCTACTATCATTGTTCGGTTTAGCCCTCGCTTTTTCTGTTTAAAACACCAACTTATTAGGTAAATATTGAATCCACAATCAATTTGTCAATTTGTCAAAACCTTTCGTATTCAGTGCACGGATAAAACTTGTTTCTCATTATATAGTTCACATATATGCGTGTGTATACTCTACTTTGTTTTTCACCAAAACGGTTGCATGTCCTTAGCTTAGCGTTAAGATTAGATGTATATGGTTATTTGAACAGACACATCGATGGATACACTTAGTGGGTGACCCTCTCTCCGAAATGCTCCTAATCCTTGTGCAGATCCGCACGTCTCGCCAGACTATCTGGGGCGAGCCGCAATACTATCTAGGTGAGTCCAAGCACAAGTCTTTGTACAACTAGTACGTGTACGTGATGCGTGTGGGGTGCCACATAAATCCCATTACAACAGTGCGTGGGCCTAACATTTTATCTAGGTACTATCCTAAAGGTACAGCGAATACAAATGTACACCCTGGATCCGGAGATCCCACTTCCCGACTGCTTCCGTGCTGCGAGTGGTCCCTGTGACCGTAGGACGTCTTCTAGACAGTCTGTACTGTACAACGAGTCCACCGAATCTATATTACTCCTAACAACTTCTTGTTTAAATAGACTAGACTATGTGGGTTTCGGGGTAAGCCTTCCTTGTCCGATGCCAATTGAAACGCCCTTTGTACATTACGTGCTGCTTAGTGGAGGTTATCTCTCTCTCGGGACTCACTAGGTTCGATTGGGGTTATCATTAAAGTATCCAGATTTATCTACGCTTATTCAAGTAGCACAATTAACACCTGTATTGAAATTTTTCACCATCAAGTTGTTCGTTATCATTATCATTTGCAATCAACATTAGTACAACATGCAGGTATGCAAGTGTGTATGTCTCCATGTATTTGTTTGTTCATCAAAAAGAGGCACTGTTTTTAAGGCAACACTACACAGTGAAGTTATACACCAGGATCTATGTACACCAACAGAAGGAGGTCCAAATCAATTGAGGGAGGAGGGGTGTGGGAAAGTCCGAAAGTCCTCGCAAACAATATGAAAATCATGTAGGGTCCGGGTCACAACATTCAGGGGTGCAACAAGAATAACCACAATATCCACGAATTACTTATATGTACACAATATATATAATATATAACGTTACCAACAAAGAAGGGAGCGGCCCGTTCCGGGCATCCCCGGGGTTACTGGAGGAGATTCGCCGCGGAATGGACCGCGTCCAGGGTCTCTCATCCTAAAAGTGCGCTTCGGTTCGGGGACCTCGGCTGGTTGCTTAGTTGTTAGTGTATGTGTATATCGAATATGGCTATAAAATATCTTTCGCGTGCTGGTAGACGTTTCGCTTCGCACTCCCCGCCCGATCCGCTTCAATATGCTTAAATATGTACGTGTAAAGCTTGTTCAATGGGGAAACCTGTAGAGTGTAAGCTAGCTCCTCTTCACTTTCTCCTCCGGCTGCAGTTGCAGTTGCAGCTTGCAGAAAGCATTCTGCTCCTAAATGTGCACAGCTGATGCAGCCCGTCTTAAATACAAATTTACATAAATACCTTGCTCTTGCTGCTGCGCTCCGCGCGCGGCTGTATAAAGTGCAACAGGTCATGCGGCCAGAGCAAATATTGGCGGGCGCGTTTACCCCTTAGTCAAATATTGGCAATTTCGAAATGGGCAATTGACATTGACACAGACGCAGACACGCCCACACGCCCACTGGCCTGTTCAAACAGGGCCGGAAACATGGCGAGTGGGGCCGGGGCGGGTAGCAAATAAAGATATGGACTAATCAAACAAAACTGGCAACGAAAACAAGAACCGAAACAAAAAGCGAACACAAGAGTTTCTCGAATAATTTTATTTAAATTATATTTTGTTGAGTTGTTGTTGTTGTTGCGGTTGCGATTGCGATTGTTGTTGTTTTACAAACTGCATGCATGTAAATGTAGAAAATACAAAACTTAGGGACAAGAATTTGAAGCACTTCAAATTGAATAGAAATCCACTTTAAACGTAAATTACAAATATGACTTCGTTTCGCTTAAGAGATGAAGAGAAGAGTGTCTATTAAATAATCGCTTAAATCAGGACTAAATCATAATCGTAAAGTGTGTATAATATTTATGTGTATAATTGCGTAAGCTAAAAACAAACCGGGCTCGACTTCGAACCGCCAAAAGAGTGTGTGCATAGAACAGAACTGAAGAGACAGTAATTGCACAAAATGATAAGCTATAAATTATGATCGAACACTGAGTACGTCTGCTGGGGGTCTGTGTGATATTTACAGCATAAGGAGCTCGCCCCAACCGTTTCCGTTTCCATTACGTTACGTCAAGTTACGTTACGTTCCATTCCGTTCTGAATGTGTTCCCCCCTTCCTCTTCTTCTTCTTTCTTTTCGTCTGCAGCACTTGCCTTAACTAGATTTAACATTATCTTTAACCATACGCGTAACTGTACTCGTAATTGTAATTGTAACTAAAACTAAACTAAATCAGCTCAACACTCCGGCCTGCCCGAACTGCGCGGCAGAGCTCCTGCCTGCCATGCATCATAATTTAAAATTATATCTATTACCGTAGGCTGTACTCGTAATTCATTTAAGTTACAATAACTATAGATATGACACTGTCACTGTTCGCTTGAACCGAAAACAAAACAAAGCCCCCGCTCCCCCCGCCTAACGCCTAACGCTTCACGCTTCCCGTTTCTCAACTATTGCACTGGTGCGGGAACGGAGGACGCCGAGGGACTACGGGAGCTGCTGCGCTCCGTAGGACACCGCCAGCTGCTGCCCGTAGCAGTCGTAGCCGGGCTGCAGGAGGCTGTAGGAGCTCCTCGCCAGCTCCTTCCGCGGCGGTGGCGGCATCATCGCCAGGTCGTCGCACTCCGCCGGCTTCTTGTTGCTGCTGCTGCTGCTGATGGAGTTGCTGCTGCTGCTGTTGCTGTGGCAGCTGGTGTTGCTGCTGCTGCTGCTGATGCTGTTACTGTTGCTGTGATGCGGCTTGTAGTGGCTGCTTCCGGCAGCTCGTGCCGGCTATGTGCCCCATCCGCCCGATATTCTCGGCCGTTTGTGGTTGGGGGCGTCGTAGTCGCCCAGCTGCTGCTGTTGGTGTTGCTGCTGCTGCTGCTGTTGCTGCTGCTGCTGCGCCGCCACGGCGGCCAGACGCACATCCTGCTCGCTGCTCGGCGCACCTGCGTTAAGGATAATGAAGTCTGTTAAGCCATTAGTCGATTTGCTCCAGGTCGCGTGTGTGTGACAAAGGCAGGCGGGCGGACATTCAAGGCGGGCGGGTTGGTGGGCGATCGGGGCGTGGCCAGACACTCGGATCACTCGGAGCATCTGACCAGTGTGAGTGTGTGTCTCGTGAATATGAGTCCTGCAGCTCCAAAGGTCACACACGAGTGCGTTTCGGCGACCTTTGAAGCTGCAGTGGGTGTTTCTGGTTAGAGGGAAGTCGATTGGTTGTGTGGTTAGTGGGGGAAATCAAAACAAAGCCAGGCAACAAAATGTTCTTTGGAATTTCACAATCTTAAAGGACCCCCTCAAAAAGGAAACTCAAACTGAACCGAACTCAAGCCCTTCCCTAAGTTAAATGGAATTTCTTTGCTTTACAACAATTTTGCTACAGTTGTGTATGTATGCGTATTTATAGGTGTTGGTATGCGTGTTTATGTGTATGTGTGTGTGTGTCTGAATGTTTTGATGTAGTTTCGGTTGTGGCCAATTTACCGGCAAAATTCCATCTAGGATTATGTCCCATTAGCGCGCGGTACGGATATCCTTCATACTTATCATGCCCTAAATTATCACACAATGTGGTTGTTGTCGTTGTCGTTGTGGGTTAATGCAAAAAAAGACAATCGTATTAAGTAGTAACAATATTAGAACGGCAGGTTGCAGGTTGGTAGAAAGTATGTAGCTAGAAAATCGCAGTGCCTCCGAGGGCAACGCAGCGTATACGTAATACGAAATAGGGCATTAAGTATACGCCCGTTGGGCACTGAAAACTGAACGTTAGCGGAAAGGAGAGCGATTAGCGCCGGAAACATGCCGCATTAGGTTTTAATTTTTGCAATAGGCACTCCAAATTTCAAATTTGCAGCTCTGGACAAATTAGTAGACGAGTGGCAGAAAATCCAAGTGCAAGCGGAAGTCCCTCGAGCACGAGGAGAAGTCAGAGCACAAAGAACGGAGAACGGAGAACAGAGAACAAGGAAGAGCAGCGAGCAGGTGCGGAAATCGAAGCCTACCTGGAGTGGGTGTGATGTGGCCCGTGGACGAGGGCCGCGAGTTGGGCATGACCAGGTGGTGCTGCTGCGCGTGGCCCAGCACGCTCAGGTTGGTCGCCTGCTCCGCGTTCCCGTTGCTGCCACCGCCACCGCCTCCTCCTCCTCCGCCGCCGCCTCCGGGGCCCGCTGATCCTCCGGCCAGGACACTGACGTTGTTCAGGTGCGTGATCACGTTGGCTGCCCCTCCGCCGCCTCCGCCTCCTCCTCCGCCAACTCCCCCGCCGCCACCGCTGGCGTTGCTGCTGGTGCTGCTGCTCGAGCCGCCGCTGCCCGTGGATCCGTTGCTGTTCTGCTGATGCCCGCTGGCGGAGAGGTCCCGCGGCGGCGACTGCGGCTCGGCCTTGACCTTGATGGAGACGGGTGAGGTGGCGGGCGGCGGCGTGCTATTCGAGACGGCCAGGTGCGACAAACTGCAGAAGAGAGCATCGAATTGGTTAGCAATGTAAAGCAGTGCGAACAGATCAGAGGAAACTTACGTGGAGTGCGGCACGAGGCCCTGGTGCCAGGTGTTGAGGCTCATGATGTCTACGCCGGAGGAGGAGAAGTCCTGCGCCCCGAAGGAGTAGCTCGTGAGGGCGGGGATCGGCGTCTGTAGCGTGACCACCGGCGTGTTCAGCGACGTCTGGCTCTGTCGTTGCTGCAGAGATAAAAGGAGGATGGAGGATATAAGGAGGTCTGCCTTCTTGGCTTCCTGGAGTACTCACATCTGCGTAGGCCACGTCGTCGGAGGCGGACATGTTGGGCGGCAAGGGGGCGATGGAGGGCGGTATGACGACCCGCAGGTTGGAAGCCCGGCCGTTCTGGCTGCCCGGCGACTGCTGCTTGATGGACAAGTGGTGGGCTGCAAGAGAGTTCGGTTAGTGGGGCACTGCATTTGGATTTGGATTCATCCAGGATGACGTTAGATTCGGATGGATGGATGGATGGTTAAGTGCGGGGTGGACTGGTGTGGAGTGGAGTGGATGGATGGATGAATAGATGAGGTTTATGCCCACCTATGCCGGGACTGGGACCCGGACTCGGTGATCCCACAAGCGGCGAGTGCGAGTGCGGATAGCCGTTCGACATCTCCAGCATGGAACCCGATGGATAGACTGATGGATATTCCGGGGATAGAGAAGATAAGAATATGCAACACGTTTAGACCGGATGGCAATCGCTAGTAAGTATTTTACTTGGCACGCAACTCGAGGTTAGATGGCGATGGTGAGTGGGTTAGCAGAGAACAGAAACCATAAGCAGTAAGTAACCAATAGAATGTTAGAATGGTTAGCTTTCGCATGCAGATCAGATCGGAAATCAATTTAAAATCACATCAGAAATCAAATCCAAACAGAACGGAAGATCAGAACAGAGAAACAATCGAACGATAGAGATAGAAATGTGTGTGCAGCCGCGCGAGACACTGTACTAACTTATCAGCGACATCCCACCTGAATCCGTCTCCGAACTCGATGGACGTGGGCTGATGTTGGTGTGCGACATCTGGGGGCTGGCCTGCAGCAGGTTGTCGCCGTAGGAGCCCGGCACCGGGACAGACACCGGCAGCGTGTAGCTGCTGTTCGGCAGCTGGCGCGGCGCCCCCGCACCGCCGATGGCCATCTGGTTGCGCTGCATCATGTTCTGGAACTCCTCGTCGATCTTGTTGTACTTGGCCTCCGTGCGCGGCGTGAGTGTGTAGTCCGTTTCGGCCTCGGGCGAGTCCGGCGACATCACGCCGTTCTTGTTCTCCTTCTGCGGGCAAAGGGAGAGTCGTGAGAAAAGTCGCCCAGTGACGTGGAGTCCTCCTCCTCCTCCTGCCCCTCCTTCTCCTTATCCTACTCCTTTCGGACCACTTCGCGCTCTGTTGTGCTGAATTATGCAAATGCCCATCGCGTCCTGCCATCCGATCCCCGCCTGCAGCATTACCATTACAGAACCATTTGCGCGGGGACGGCGACGCCGCATTAGAAATTCAAATGCGCTGGTGACATCTAACCATCCCCCCTCTCCCCCTGTTTCCCCTTCCTTCACTAAATGCTGCAGTCGCTGTGGCTTTAATCCTGGCCAAAAGACTCAACCGGTTACTTAAAGGTCTGCAGCACTTCCGTTGGAATAGATTTATTAAAGACTCCTACTAGATTACACTCCCTTAAAATAAATTAAATAAACTACTAGAATTACTATTCGTTTAAACGTAGATAGTACTCAGTAAGAGAGAATAGTTATCAAATGAAGAAGTTTCCTTTAGAGCCAGGTTACTACTGTAGCCGTCAACCCCAATCCCCCCGTTTTTATCCCTTTGCTGCTGCGCTTTTCACGGCTCACTTGAGTTTTGCATAACGTCGCTCCCCCCAATTTCCCCCCCGCTTTCCACCCAATTTCCCCGCACTCACCTCGATGATGTTCTTGTTGGTGAGCGACTCGTGCGGCTCGTTGTACTCGGTGTACTTGAGCAGGACGCGGTCCATGTCGGTGCTGGCGTACTGGTAGAGCTTGTTGCTCGACGAGAAGATGATGAGGGCGATCTCGCAGTCGCAGAGCACGGACAGCTCGTAGGCCTTCTTCATCACTCCGAACTTGCGCTTGTTGAAGGTCACCTGCGGGCGGAGAACCGGAAGCGGAAGTGCGTTCAATTGCGGCCCGTGCTCAAATATTTATGCGCCTCAAAGGTAATTAGGGGAAAGGTGGCCAGAGAACTCTGTCTCCTTTGCTAGCCGGTAAGCTTGAAAGCTGGCTAGCTGGATTGGTGGCTAGTTGGTAATGAATCGATTACGGCCGAGTCAAGGCCAAAGGGGCAGCACAATAAACAAGTTGTTACTGCCGGGCGATGACGCGTTTATGGCCTGGCCAAGACACCGCCTCAGCCCAGCAGAAAAGCGGTGGGAAAACCTTGCGATGACACGACACACGCTCGCTCGCCAGTTGGAAAGTGGAAAAGCGGAAAAGTGGGAATGGCGGAGGCAATTTCCGAGTGAAAAACTTTCACTGCTGGCAGGATGGTTTGTGGCCCAAAATGATTAGAGTAGAAAAGTGAATGAAACTGCCTTAAACTGTAGAACAAAGCCATTGGGCAAAGCAATTTGAAATTAAGATTGCTTACTATTTATTCACTTTCGTATTTATAATTCCAGTGAATAACAAAGTGGAAGATAATGCTTTCGGGAAATTACTTGTTGTGGAAAATGAGCATTGCTCACGGATAATATATTTTAAGAATTATTACAATGCCCAATCGGAAGTTACGCATTCTAGATTAAACTTAAACTTCAGCGGACCAAACTATGGAATACGGACCACCGATCAGACATTTAATTAGCCTGACTAATGAGGAAATTCCGCGTAACGCGGGTTCGATTTCAGTTTAACAACCGTAAGTCGATTCCCGTGCTTCATCAGCGTCTTAATTGAGTTGCATTGCCATGGAGAAGCAGAAGCGAACAATTGCTGCTTCCTTTGGGATGGAATGCTACTATTGCCTTGGATTGCCGAGACTGCCGGGATTGCTGGGATTGCTGGGAGTTCCGGGGATGGGAGGACCTGCTGACACTCACCTGCCGATTGCGCTCGTCGGTGATGCGTGATATTTGGATTTTTTTGCGACCCATGGCAACAGCTTCGCTTTCCTCCTCCTGCGGCTGAAACGGAGACGTCGGTGTCCTTGGGCTCGGCTGGCTGAGTCCTGCTGGCTTGGATTCCTGCTCCTTCGCCGGATTCCCGACTGCAAACTGCAAAACTCTCTTACTGTTAGTGGCTGCCCTGCGGATTGCTGTGGCTCTTCCTCGGGCGGCAGGCGTGGGGCATAGTTATATATATTGCCTATATAGTATCCCTCCTCTCGCTGTGTGTATAAGTGGACGGCTTGTCAAAACGGCAAATTCTCTTGTGTATATAGGTGTGTATATAGATCTATATAATTGTTGTGTTTCCGTATAAATTGTCCTCAGGTAACTGCAACGAGTAAAAAACGAGGAGAAGGGGAGACAATAAGTGATTGACTGGCTCGATGGGTGGGAGTAATTAACCCGTAAATTAACCCGTGGCTGACCATTTAACCCACTTAGCTGGCCACTTCAAAAGGCTCTTCCAGCTGGACGGGGCAGGATTTGCGGTCAACTTGCTCCATTGTCGCTCCACTGGCGCTGAAAGTTCAATGCACCGCTAATGAAGAGCAAGTGACGCCCACCACCCACCACCCACCAGCCACCTTTCGCCCACGATGACCTATTTCCTGCCCCGACCTCGTCTCTAATTGATGTCGACTGACCCACGCATGATTAGATAAGCGCTGCTCCTCCGCCTCCACTGGAGGCCCTGGGAGCGGGAGACCCTGGGAGCGGGAGACCCTGGGAGCCTGGACCCGAGCCGAGCGGGTTTGCTTTGATGTCCTGCCAGCTCCCTCCTCACACGCACCGAATCACTGAGGATGTGCCGACAACTCGCTCGCAAGCCGCTTTAAAGCGAGAGACGAGGAGCGAGAGCGGAAGCGGAAGCGGCACTCCAGATCCCGTTTTCCCGTTTTCCGCCCGCCCGGGGCAACGGCAACACTGAGGAGCTCCGGCGGAAGCTGGGTCTCTGTCGGCTTTCCACGCTTTTCCCGCCCCTCGCAGCCCTTCCCCTCTGCGGCAGTGGCACGTGGCTGGCAAACGCGAGCCAGCAAAAGCATCCTCGTGTCCCCCAATCGCTTCATCACTGCGAAAAACTTGGCCTGATCAAGTTTGCAATGAACTATGAAACCGAGAAGACCAGAGTGTGTCAGCCCTGCGCCACAATAAGCAATATTTTTATACTCTTTTAAATTTAGAACATATGTTCCGAGACAGAAGTCTCATCACGTAGGTTGGCAAAAATTTAATTAAGTTCGGGATATATTTTTATCACAAATAAACCGCTGCTCTGCCGAAATTTCAATATTGAATGCATACATTTTTTCTCCGTGTTTTAGTAAAAGGAAATCGAGGCGGATGAATTTCAGTTGGCTCAGTTTTGGTCTTCCTTTTCGTCTTCGTCTGTTGTTTGTCCTCCGGCCAGGACTGCTACTACAACAAAAACAACAATAACAGCAACAACAGCAACAACTAAAGTGCCTTGGCAACGCTTTCCCTTTTTCCTTTTCCCCCATCGCTTTTCCTCGACGCACGCAGCGACCTACGCAATATGCCTCAGCTTTCAGCTTTCAGTTCTGCCAGCGGGAGGAGAAAGTGGGTGGTGTTATTGTGGGTGGGAGGGGTCTTAGCCTTGACGAGTATGTGTGACAGCCAGCACACACACACTCGCAACAGCGAGGACACACTCAACAAACTCGATACATTTCCCTGCTTTTCCCATTCGCCTTCCTTTATTCGGGCGACCCTCCATGATTATGCGTGAGTTTTGTGCTCGGTGACTTGAGCATTCATTATTGATATGGAAAAGAAACGAAACGGAGGCAAACAGCAGGCGGGGAGCGAGCATAAGGAATGAATCGATAATGATATTGATGACGTTACCATTTGATTCGCTGGCAACCGAATCGGAATCAGAATCAGGAGACATCGTGGAGAGAATAGAGCCACTCTCACTCGGTGACTTTCCTTCGGGGATTTAATGGCATGACCACGGACAAGTGTTGCTCCGAATGGAAAAGCAGAAGCAGCGAGACAGAGTATCAAGTATACGCAGTGGTGACCCCCGCCCCGCTATCAATAATTATCCGTTTAGTAATCAATATTAGATTTTGGAAAATTCTATCCAACAGGGCAAATTGCTGCTCTTCTCTGTTTGTCTGCTCGTGTTTGAGTTTCGGCTAAGCACTTGGGCCATAATTAAGGGACACCTAATCCGCTTAGGACGTGCCGCTCACCATTTTGTGATTGCCGTTCAGCGGATTATCCGGGAAATAGCCTGCGATTGATTCCAGTCACTTTTGGGGTCTTTGTGCTCCTATCGAGACTCCAAGCTGCAGAAGTCCAAATCTTGGGAGAAGTGCGTCAGTGGCGCAGATGAATAACTGAAGGCGTGACACAGGCGAACCAGTTATCACACCGCAAGTGAGTCAGTTAGGAGCAACATGCCACATCTGTCACTGCATCAGCTGCAAACTGGGAAGTGGCCGCGATTCGGGGTGGTGGCAAGTACGCAAGGCCATGTGGCAGACGGCAGCAGGACGCCAAGTGCTCGAATTACGAGCTTGTCCTTTTTGTAGCATACTTATCAGCGTCTGCAATTGAATTGGACCCACGCTGCTCGGGACTTGGCTGGAAGGCAGCTGAAGCGGGGGAGTTTTAAGGGTCACAGCTTCAAAGGTTAATTTTGCACTTAAAAGGGAATTTACAATCGGTTTGGGCAGAATACGGCAATCAAGGATCCCCTTTTTCAACTATAATATGTTATTCTTTTACATCTCTCTGTTGTAAAAAGCGGTTGGTTTTTATCAGTCATAATTAGTCCGATGGCCAGAAAGTCCCACTCAAGAGCTATCGGAAATCTGCATTCTTTGCCCGGGAGAAGCACTCGCTCACCGGTATCTAATCTCGAGAATTTCAAGCTGCCAAAACTCTTTATAAATCAAACGGCCACCCGCGACACCCGCGTCATCCGGAGAACATTAATGGGCCTGTGTTTGCGCGGTCGAGCGGCACTTGAAGTGGTGCAGGTGTGGGCCCACGAAAACAATCTAGAATGACGGCTGAAATATTCGACTAATTGCAGGGCAGAAAGTGGGGAAATGGCGGGGTGCTCGGGATCGGAAGGAGGGCTAATCACCGCAACGGAACGTCTCGGAAAACAAAGGATGTGCGGAATGAATCTGTGGCCCGGGGGCCGAAAGAACTTAACACGGTTTTCATTGCGACAATCAACCATTTGCGGCTGCAACTTTTCACTGGGTCAACGGCAAAGGCGGCACTTGAGGACAACGGAAGAGGACGGAAGAGGATGGAGCAAGGATGCACCCAGTCCGCTCCATCGGAGGATGTGTGTCAAGACATTTGTCTTGCGAGCGGGCAATTAAAACGAAGCAAGCTGCCGCCACGTTGCACGCTGCCTGCTGCCTGCTTCTCCATTTAATTGGCCCAAAGTCTGCGGCGACATCATTAGGCAAATGGCCAAGAACAAGCCTCAAGAATGTGGGTGTTTTTTGCCGGAATCGCGAATCCCTCGAAACCCTCCGCTTGGCAACTTTATACAGTGTTTTCCTAATTGTTTCGTTTGGCCAACAAAGGCGGCGGCACATTATCGATTTGATTTAGTGAATCACTCACCGCTCTGCGGCTTTTTCTCCGATGAGCAGGCATTAAAAAAGGCGAAAACTTGTTTCTGTTGCTGCCTTGATTGCGCTCAATTAGCATTTGTTGCGGGCAAATTTATGCAAATTTTAAACTTTTCCGTATTTTGGAGGAATGAACTCCGAACCGATTGCGAAACCAGTTGTGGCCGCCCTGAGATGAGCCGATCTGAATGCAATCTCTCACCGTCCGAGTCGCGCAGCCTCAATTAGAGCGGCGGAGATCGCGGCAAACCTTTCATAAATTCAGTTTTTATGGCAGCTGCCCGGCCAAATTTCAAGTTTAAGAAACTCGCAATTTATCACCTGCCTTCGAATAATGTAAGCTCAGGGGCCTTTATATAGTATTTGCCCAACTTGTGAACGCATTAGAGGTACTTGATAATTTTTCTTAATTCAATAGATCGTCGCTTTGGGAGGCTCCGACTTCCGCCTTGCGCCTCACTTTCACTTTTTTCATCTGCCGCAGATCTGTCAATGTCCCCCGGGCTTAGTTGTTGCTGTGCTGTTGTTAATGTGCCGCAGTTAACGCATTCTTGGGACTCGGTTATAAATCTTGACTTAATTAAAGACACGCGCGCTTTAAGACGCGATGAAAACGCGCCACAAACGCGTCATTTGGAGCGGCCACTGAGGCGGAACTTTTTGGTGGTCGGAAATTGAGTTTAGAACTGTAAATTACCGAACAAAGAAGTTGGGGTTACCCCATCAATATAATGTTGGCAGTAGAGCTGATCTAATGTGCTTTTTATTGGGTATCCATTGAGCCATTTAAAAAGGGTTCCTGTACCTTTGGCTTTACAAATGCCTTACACTATTGGTTTTCCAATCTACCTCTCGTGTTTTGAATGTAATGTTATATCCAGAAGTAATCTCAGCTTTTCTGCAGACTCCGTAAACATTGTTCTGAACTCGTGGCGGTTTTATGTGGCCGAAGAAGTGTTATGCGATAGCCTGCTCTTGTTTATAAGAAGGCGGGATATCTGCACACTTCGATTTCCAATATTTCTGCCAGCGCTGCAGTACCCCTCGATATCTGGCCGCCTTCCTGCAGCCTGTTTATCAACATTCCGATTGCAGAAAGCAGAAAAGGCCAGCGAAGGGGGAGGAGTGCAGTTCCCCGAATCCAAGGTTTGCTTCTTTGGCCCGAAACACGCGTCCCATGTTAAGGTAGTCGAACAAACTCGAGTTCCCGGGCCCCGAGTCACCTACGGGTACACCTACCATCTACTATCTTATCGCCCGCACTCACACAGGCGCACTCCGCCGGGCGGATTGTGGGAGAGAGGGCCAAACAAAAACACAAACAGACACAACGGACACGACAGAAGAAATCATAATAATAATAAAAATAATTATAATTGTGGGGAAGAGCGGCGGCAATAACCATAATTATCACAGACACTCGAGAGCCGCAAACACGGCAAATGGCAAAAAAACATTTATTTTTTAATAACTACACCCATACAGCGAAGCCGGCGTGTTTATGAGCCTGTCTGTGAGCTGTGAGCCCGCCACCTCCACCACCTTCACCACCACCAGAACCACCAACACCACCACCACCAACACACAGGCACACACACGTGTGATAAGAAAGACTCTCGCTCTCGATGGCAGATAGTGGAGCAGCGGCACAAAGCACGGCAAATAAAACAAATTCTGATTGCGAATTTTTATCAAGCCCCGAACAGCAGCAACAACAACAACTATAACAACAACAACAACAACGAGGAGCTAACTCAACTATTTTTCGTTGAAAAATTTGCCAACAAATTATTTTCTGCTGATAAGATGTTAGTTAGGTTTTCCTGTTTTGGATTGACTTCTTTGTTTGACTTCGAACTTGAAAAATAACAGTACTTCGTCACTTTACACAATGCAAATTCTTGTTTAGAACTTAAAGTAAAATCAAGTAAAACCCAAATAACAAAAAAGTTTAAGTAGTTTAGTAGGACTTTACGTTTGAAATTCCTTAGTAATTACTAGCCTGAAACTGAAAACGTGGCTTAAACGTGACTACGGCAAACATGTTTCAGGTTCGAAGGTAATCGATCGTAATCGAGAACGTGATCAGAGGTGGATCCCGTTATCTCGGGCCTGCATTGCCGAGCGCCCGCTATCGTTTATCGATAGCCAATCGCCGTGGCTAAGTCCAAGGCAAATCGGGAGCGATAATCGCCCCTCAATTGCTTAGTTAGCTGGTTGAGCCGACTGCCCCCCGCAACGCCAGCCCCTCCTGCGGATCCTGCGAGGTGTCAAAGTGCATTGCACGCATGTCCAGCTGGCTGGAGTGCGAGCGAGATAACGAAACTCGCAGTTCGCGCTTTCTTCTCCCTTCTCCCTTCTCCTCTCGCCAATGGCTGAAGCAAAGTGCAGACGATTATCAGCAGGCTCGCCAATCGGCCAGCCAGTCGATCCGTCAGTTGGTCGGCTGGTCGGTTGGCCATAAAACTACATGCAAAATAACTTGATAGCAGGGAAATGGATTTGAACTTCGCGGAGGAGTGCGGCTCCCTCACAATTGATACGAAAATCGCTTATCAGGCGAGCGAACTCAGTGTTCTCAGTATGTGCGTGTCGCTCCCCCGTGTGTGGCAGCCACTTCCAGCATTAAGTCGCGGGAAAGAAACCGAAACCGAACATCGAACGATATCAATTGAAGGGAATACCATAAGTGGAACCGGGACAGAGCACGAGTCGAAGGCCCGGACGATATCTGCTCTTCCGCGGAATCCAGTCGATTGGCCAGCGGTGACGTCAGTTGCCATCGGTCTACCGATTTCGTTACCGACATGCCGGCTGCCATCGTGTTTGTAATTGTAAATTATAGATAATCAAATTGCCTATCGGCCCTTCAAAGGAGGGGTTACAGCCCGGGCGAGATCTGTAAATAACCACTAAGCCTTTGGGAGCAACGGCGAGTCAGTGGGCAAAGCCCCACCACAAGTGTGGTGAGGTCGTCTTTTCTGCATTAATCATTTGTTTTATTCAAGATTGAAAGTTAATTTACAATTAGTTGAGAATACTTCTCTCGCGAGCACCATTCACATATGTACATGAGTAACACAGCTGACTTATTAAAGTAATTGTTTCTAAATCTAAAATATTTTCAATTATACTGTAATCACCAAGTTTAAACTCTTTATTTTTTTCGAATTCGCGAAAACTCAAGCACATTCCTCGAAAGGGGAAAAACTTACATGATTCGCTTTTCAGCAGAGCTTCCGTTTCCTCAAGAAAGGTTCCCAAAAAGGCTGCTCAATAGAAACCGACGAGTTTTGAACTTTGCGGGATGCCAGGTCGCTCGGGAGGTGTTTGCACAAATGTTTCCGCTCACACACGAAAATCTTCGCAATTGAGATGCAAATTGAACTGTTGTTTGAATTCAGAATTCAGAACTCAGAATTCGGGCTTTGTTTACGCCGCTCGCTCGATAAACATCGGGGCGAAATGCAGTCAGTGATATGTTTGCCGTTATGTTTGTCGTGTGCCTTAGCTTTTGTAAATATAAACAAAGTCCGGGGGGCGGGAAGTGGACGGGGCGGGGCTCACGACGGCGGGCGCAAATAAAAGTTAAAAATAAAAACTTATAATTGTCCGACGGCTGTTGTTATTTTTATTATTGTTGCCATTTATTTTTGGAAATAGACGTTGAATTTGTTTATATGGAGTAAAAATAAATTATTGCGCGTAGAGCGAGAGCAGCGGGCCAGCATAATTTCTCGCGCGTTCGATTTAGGATCTCTATCTGCTGCGGATCGCTAGCGGAATCGGATCGGCTCGGAATGAAAATATCGAACTCGCAAACGGATCTGATCTGAATCTGCCGGAGTCCCAAAAACCGAAAACCGAAAAGCTGAAGAAGCGGCGCTGCGGACGCGTACAAACGTACTGACGGATACGCCGCCGTTGACGTCGTAACGCCAAGTACGCACACACCGATACGGCCGCACACAGATGCGGATACAGGCAGGCTCTCTCGCCGCCGCCGCCGCCGCCGCCGCCGCCGCAGTCGCACACTCACACACACTTGCCAGCGGCGAGGAGGATTTTCGTTTCGTGGTGAACTCACGAACTCACTCACACGCGCTCACCTTCTAACGGTGCCTTTTGTTTTCGCCTTTTTGTGTAACAGAATATCGCACACACATGCCCAAAGCGAGAGAGAGAGCGGGAGAGAGAGTGCGCAGGCGCTGGCTTTGAGTTTTCACTCGCAACGAAAGCAAGAGTGGGAGAGTTGTGGAGGGGGGAGGGGGAGCGTGGAAGAGTGGGAGAGGGGGTGAGTGAGTGTACGTGGGTGAGTGCGTGCGGGAGTCGAACGAGAAACATATGGTTTTTGTTTGTGCCCAGCCAGACACACAGTCACACAGTTACACACAGCCACACACACACACGGACACACTCACATTCGATCAATCAGCAACAGTTACAGTTATTTCGCTCGCATAGCTCGCTGTCCCGCTCTAGCAGCCCCCCATAAATGTTAATTATCCCCAAACTGCCCTCCCCCAACTAACCCCCTGCCAAAACATCGCTTTGGTTTCCTTTTTCCTTTGTATCCGTGTCTCTCCGCTTCCCAGGACCTCCCCCTCTGTTTTTTGTGTGTATTTAATTTATTTGTCCTTGCCACTGGATCCTCTCTACAAACAATCGCCCACCCACCCGCCATTAGTTTCCCCCCCGGCGCAGCTTAATAAAAACTTTGTTGACCTGCGTTTGGCAGCGGAAAAAGAAGCAAGGAGGAGTCCTGTTCTGCGGGGATACTAACGGCTTATTACCCTGTTACGAAATGTGCTGCATACCCAAAGGCGGCTTCAGGACAATAGTGAAAGGCAATCGACCAATTAAGCAATATTTTGGTATATGGATGGTATATTGGCAAACACAATCCAATCAGAGGTTTTTTAAAACGTTTTTCAATTTATTTCTTAATAAAATCGGAAATACTTCCTGTTGGTTTTTTCCAAACTTTAAGAATCGCAACATACCCCATTAATATTCCAGAAAGTTGGTATAATAAACACACAGAACACAAACACCTTGAACGAAAACGAAAAAAGCGTAGGGATCCTGGGATCCTTGGGTGTGTGGCAACCAACCATTCATTGTTTCTGCTCGATTGATGATTGCCTATTCAGACAGAGGTAAAGCACTAACGTGGCAGAAGTTGGGGCTCAATTTGTAAATGCGACTCCCAGCCAAGTGGAATCGAGGCCTGTGACCCAGAGCCTGTCGATTGTTTCGCTAAGCGGGATATTATTTACGTCAAACACGCTCTATTCTACAGGATACGCAGGATTACTGATGGCGAACTGGGGACACAGGTACCCTCACTTGAACTCAATAGCGTTTTATGCATAATCGAAATCGATTTCTGCAGGGGGAACCAACCAGGATGTGGTTAGCTCCCCTAAGTGATACTCGTAACAAATATTCAACAGCAAATAAGAAGCGATTTGAAAACTGTATAAATGAATATGCCAAACCAGACGAAGGGTTTCGGGCTCTCAAGGAATGCCCAGTTTGCAGATGCAGTTAAATGGGCGCAACTTAACGTGACTCGCGGGTAATGTGCAAATGCCAGATGCCACAGATATTCATATTCCCCCTTCCCCTCCGACTGAATGGATTCTGTAAAAATCACGCATAACCGATTCCAAGTGCAGCGCGACCACGTTACCCGTTACGTTTTATGGCCCTCGCCTCTCGGCGGCGCCACAATGTTGCAGGCTGAGCAGCCAGCAGTAAGCAGCCAGCGGCCAGCGGCCCATGTGTGCACATCACCCGACCAACCGATCAGTGCCACTCCCGGTTGCAGTGTCCTTGTGACTTTTAACGCTTCCACTGGGTGCGACAACTGCCAACTGCAAACAGTCGTCGACAGTCTTAATTCAATAAACGCCGCCCGGCGATTTGCGCATGACCATGTAGCATGTACCCGGTTCCCTGTACACTGGATGCTGCATGCTGCATGCTGCATGTTGCATGTGCAGGCACTCAACACATGTGCACCATGCGGCAGCGGCAGCGGCAGCAGCAGCGGCAATGTGTTGAGTCGGACTTAGCTGCTTGGCAGGGGTTTCTTCGGGATCTTCGGGGGATCTTCAGACACCCCAAGCCAAGCGACCACGTGAAACTCCTCTCCACTGCAATCCACATCCACATCCACTCCACTCCACTCCAGTTTCTGTAACGTTGCGTAGGTAATCCCATAAATCCCATCCACGCCGCCTTCCTGCGCATCTCGCAGATACGCAGCGTTTGAGTTCGAATTGGAGAACGGTTCCCAGTACCAAATAAAAAGTACCGAGTACCCAGTTCCAATTGAGAACGGAGGGATGTAAGCACACGGAATTACGGGAAAAACATCTTTTTAATTGCCCGCCGAGATTTCGAAATTGAAAAATGTCTGCGGTGGCATCAATTATGCAAATGCCGGCCCTCGAAACCAGAAAGGAAGTTAAGCTCAAGTAATTTCGGCTCTGAAGAGTCTCTGGGGAGTCTATGGTCTTCGAGGCGAAAGGAAGGGTAGGTGTCGCCATTAGCATTGCCTAATTACATTTCAATTGCGCGACTTAAGCGGGCTTAAAGTCCCGACTTGCCGAGTAATTCATAAAAATCTCAATCAATTTCCCGGGCATCGAGTCCAATTTAAACGCGATTAAACGCGAGCTTAGGCCTCCGAAAGGGGAACCCTTCTCTGCTCCTTCTCCGCTCTGCGAGCTTTCCTAATCTAATCAATTTTCCGGAGGCCAAACGCCCACGCGGAGCAGCTTCCTCGGCCTCAGCCTCGATTCGGGCTGTCAGCCTGAATAATTCCTCCTTAACACGTGTGTCACTGCGGAGGCGAAGGATCGAGGGATTCGGCGACGGTGAAAGCATTTCTCTGTTTGCATGACTGATAAGTTCCCAGGGAAGAACTGATACTCCACCCCACTTGCTCTCTCACCTGGCTTAGAAATACGAAAACTGCCTCTGATTCTGCCTCTAATTGGCTTTGACTGTCATCCCGACTTGCAATTAGCATTGCCCGACAAACACAAACTTTCCAACTGCTCGGGCTAACCTTCCTTCCGCAAACTGTCACCGTCGACCGTCCACCATTTTCCTGCCATTTCCCTTGCTGCCCCACAGTTATCGCTTTTCCTTTCAGGAAGAGCGGGAAGCGGCAAGTGAGGAAGTGGCACATATTTAATGCGAAAACTCTTTTTTGGGGCAAGGACGAGCTGCAAAAAGGTTTATAATTGAAACGGATGGCGGCAGCCAAGGTGAGCTAATTGCGTCCGCGGTTCATTCATAAGTTGGTCCATTGATGGACTCATATCTGCAAGCAGAGTGTCTCTATCTGCCAGAGTATCTATATCTATTAAGTGGCGTGTCACTGTGAGTTGGGTAATCATTTTGGAATCATACGAATACGAATACCTCTCCGGCACTTCGTGTGGGTGGCCGATCAATCAACGTTATTTATGCATATCCCAGCTGACAGTGGAGCCAGCTCGACAACACACTAAAACATTCATGTGCTGCGGAAATCCAAGGGATGAGCAGTTTTTGCTCGAACTGTTATCTCTTGGCTCTGAACAACTGAAATGTTAACGCGGAAACTATGCAAACTGAATATATCTCCATCTCTCTGTAGCAATCCATTCCCAGAATCCTTTTACCGCTTCCTGCACGCAAGATATACAACTTGTTAAAAAAGAGAAACTTTGTGTATTCATTGGAAATATTGTTTATTGGGATTCGGAGATCATAAAGAAGGGAACTTGTTGCCCGTGTACCTTCGTTCGGCAGCGAATAAAGTCGAGCGTGTGTTGTTTAGTGTGCAGTCTAATGTAAACACTAGACAGGCAACTGCCTTCCTTTCCCATCCCCTCCCCTTCCCCCCGAAACCCCGAATCCCTGAGCTCGTGGAAAACAATACCGAGCATCCTGGCGAAGGGAAAGGGAAAAGAGGAGGGGGAGGGGAAAGCTTGTGGGAAAGCAGACAGGCAGACACACGGAAATTGACAACTCGCAGAGCAATAAAGAAAAGTGTCCCGCACACACACACACACACACACACACACAGCGGGGGAGAAAGGGAGGGAAGGGAAACTCAGAGGGGGGCGGTGTGGGCTGATAAGTTTTATACAATTTCCACCCACAGAACTTGAGTTATGCCCCCGCATAACACAATATTTCCCTAATGTCTTTATTATGTTCCATTGAGTGTAAATATTTGCCTTGTGCACACACGCACACGCCAACACATACATATATACGTGCGTGTGTGTGAGCCAGCTTCGTAATACGTGGCACGTGCTTCACAAGAAGGTGGAGCGAGCCGAAAACAAAACAGGATCTAAGGACTCACCTCCGGGAGCTCGCCTTCAGCAGTTGGCCGACACAACAGGTACAAAGGACTCGCTGCAAAGAGGCCAAAAGGGAAAATGGAAATTAGACAAGTGGGGAAACTCTCGAGGCGACTAAAAACGCCCCGAAAACGCGACCGTGTCGCCCGCGATTTATGACGCTCAGTTCAGTGCACACGCGTTCTGCGTTGACCTCCTGCATCGCGTTCTCTGCGCCCCCAGAAGCCCACAAGCCCACAAGCCCCACAAGCCGGTGGCAAAGTCGGAGTCCGCACATGTGCGGCATGCCCCCACCCCCTGCACCCCTGCCACTTCAAGCCAGTCGACTCAAGAACGAGTTGGCGGTAGAAGACTCAAGACTGAAGAGCGGAGAACAGAAGCTGCGACAAGTGAGCAGAGCGGGTTTAAAGTTGAAAGGATACCATAAATCTTGTAAGCTGATGCAAAGCGACATTCCCCGAAGCCGCAGACAAAGCCGAGGCTGCCGGGTACTGGATACTGGGTGCTGGATGCTGGATGTTGGTGGGGAAAGGGTGGCGGAGCAGATGGGCCAACTGGAGGCG